TACGCCGATGGGTCGAATACGCACGTAAAATTGCATCAAATGAGCAAAAGACGACTCAAATAGAAGAAGTAGAGGATATTGAAGAGGACGCCAGTGAAGAGACGACGACTGGAGAATACGACGCAGCAAAAGGAAAGGGAAAGAAGGGCAAGAAGGGCAAACACCACAAGAAGCACAAGCCATCCAAGCACTGGTTCAAGTTTGTCAAGCGCGCCTTTGTCAGCACCATGGACGCAGATGAGATTAAAGAAGTGTTTGGTTCATCGTCGACGACGACAAGTGAGCCACTGCAAGAGTCGTCGCCACAAGAGATTATCGAGCTATAGAAAGAGAGAGTGTTTTTTCAAGACTTTGTAGAGTTTAAAGAGGGAAAAAGAGATGGGGAGTTGAACATGCAACCATACAAGGCATTGTAGTAGTAGTAGATATATATATACCCTGGGGCGTTGCAAGGCGCGCGGAGGGGAGGGACCCTGAGATTTTGACAGCTCTTTTTTTGGTTTGTGTTTGGCACTCGCTTTTTTGTATATGTATTTGTTGTTGTTGTGTTTGTTTTGACTGCGAGCATAGATAGCGTAGCATTGGTTTGTGTGAATATGATGTTTTATCTTTGTGTCTAAGGAAGGGAAGTAGTCTGGTTGCTTCTTTGCAGGGACTTTTGATTGGTGTTAGAATTTTTAACGATACAATAGACATCGAACTGATATGCAAGGGCCCTGGACAAAATGGATTGGCTGTGGGTCGTGTAGAGATGGGACTCGTCTTTCGATTGTGATCTGTAGCATATATCGTGTGGACCGACTATTTGCTTTTTTGTACGATGACGAAATAAGGGTGCACCGGAGAAAATGAAACATGTATTCACCAATTCCGTCAATTTGATCGAAACAGTGATCAGTCAAGCTCTGACTAAACTGCGATATTCCCCCCCTCTTGGAAGTATCGGACTACTGAGTGGTAAGCACATGTGCTGTCCGGACCATTGTGCACCGAGAAGTCAGCCCCCCTATAGTACTACACCTCCATGTAGCGATTCTGACATCTTGAGCACACCAAGAGATATACCCCATTACACCCCTCCCATTCCCCTCTCTACACTTTCCTCACACTCTCTTACAACGAGGATGAAAAAGAGACAAGAAAAAACCTCCACCCCAGTAATCACAAACACAAAAAAAGTCACACGACCACCGGACCCCACGCACCCACCGTAGTCCGCGCGAGCCGAGGACAAAAGGTCTTTTCCCCCAAATCCGTGCCAAGACCTACCCAAAGCAGTAATTCGCTGCAAAAACCGTAGATTACAGCGGAGTGTTACTCTTTGCTCCGGGTTGTTACTCCCGCAGGAAAATGGGAGACGCTCCTCTCTTCCGTCCGTTCCCCCCCCTCCCGCCCTCCTTTTGTGATTGTCCGCCACCGACCGCCCACCCGTAGACCAAGAGAACCCGCGGAACGGCCGGTCTTCGGTCTCTTTTTTTTCTTTCCTAATTTTTTCCCCTGCTTTTGTTTTTTGCGGAATCGTCAGCTTGGATGTTTATTATGTTCACATAACACACACACACATCTGTGTGTGCGTACACACGCAAAGTGACAGAAGCGGCATATTCCTATATCTCTCTCTCTCCCCCTCTCTTTCTCCTTTCACTACTTACCAACCCGTGATCTACAGTTAGTTTAATTATAAGCAAAAAAAATCAAGCCACCGATTTCCCCCCAAGTACAAGGGTTAACCCTTCTGCTAGACTTGCCTGGGGTGTGACAGTAATCTATGGTTGATCATCTACATGATCACTTGCGCACACGCATACCCCCAAAAGTTACCTATTCGGGGAAAGAAAAAGAGAGAGCAAAGAGAGAGAGAGTTTCATGCCGTCGATCAATCATGGGTGTGGATTTGACCCCAGGGGGCAACCATGAACGAGTGTTCAGGCCCTACCCAGATGCTATGATCAATGGTAATAACGCCGTAATTGCCTGTTCTGGTATATTTGTTCGCGTCCGGCCGCCCGCTGCATGAAGCTGACTTGCTACCTTGGTAGTATAGTTTGCTAGTTGGGTGGGACTTTTTGCGTGCTGGTTGTGTTGGGGGGGTCCAATCCGCTTTTGGCCGAGGTAAGTAGGGATCTTAGGACCAGAGGGTTGTCTAGCGTGTGTGCTGTGAGGCGGGTTTTTTTTGGTTCGAGTCAGGTTGTGATTGTCTTGTGCTTGATTGAGACATGGGGGGAATGGGCTAGGTAAGGAGTTTGGGGTTTCGTTTATCTGCGATCTATTTTCTGCGTGTGTCACATGCGGGAGAGGGGCTACGTCATTGGGGTGGCTGATGGGTTCCCCAGATGCTCTCGGTGTACAAAGGGTGGTCGTTCAGCATGACATCTCAATACTTCCGCCGCCTCCGCTGATACTTGAGACTGTTTTTGTGAGAGTAGCTTGCCAAAAGTAACACACAGAACAAGGATGGGTGGATGAGATGTGGTCGCGAGGTCACCCTCCAGAAGCGCACCGATCGCGACACCAAGCCTTGTACTGCCCGAGGACAGCCTAACAATACGTACGAGACTTCTTCTCTCGTAAGTGAATCATGATGAAGAGTCGAAAAACTGCACGAGCAGTCGCGAGGCTGGTTAGCTTGCGACAAAGTGAGACTCTTGTCCAGGTGCCTATCTGCCTGCCCACGAAGCCGCGTGACGGGCCTGTTGAGCAATACACACGACCCACGATCACCGAACGTGACAGCACAAAATCATATCACCAGCCTTACAACCTGTGGATATGATCGTCATCTAAGCAAGAGAGCTAATTACCATCACTACCATTACCATGAGACAGCCTCCGCATATGCCCACTTCCAAACCCAAAGCCATGGCTTCTCCTTTCAGGCCCGCATCACCTGCAGAGGACCTTCCAGCCTACTACCAGGATCTAGAAGACGAAAACATCCGATACTGCTTCCGAGATTTCGACTCAGAACGCAACTTTGATCTCTTTGACAGGCAGACCAGAGATCCCCGGAGTAACAACTTCTGTATTGACTTTGGCGAAGACAAAGCCTACTGTGCTTTCGACCTTGATGCACAGTCATATGAGACGCTGCTCAACGCACCAAGGCCGACAGAGTTGCATACACGATGGATCCACATATGGATGCCTTACAACCAGAAGGATCTGATCCGGACGCTGGCTACACACTTTGACTTTACACCACGTCTTATGGGCCTGATGAAGAGTGACCCCATAAACCCACGCACTGGGACTTCGCTGCGAGCAAAGAAGAGCTCTTCAACTCTGAGGTCACTGATATCGCACAAATCAGGCAGCGGTGAAAAGGACAGTTCAGTCAGGGAGAGAGCGAGACAAGCAAACGAAGAGATACTGGATGAAGAGTCGAGCATTGGTATGACGAGCATGATGCAGTCTACACAGATGGAGATGGTGCGGGACATGGGTCACTACCAGCTGGTGAATGATGTATGGCATTGGAGTACTGTGGACAAGGGCCGAAGATGTGAGTTTGTGCAACTTCCTTTTGTAACTGATCAGAATGTAAGAAAAGGATTTTGCTAACTGAGGCATAGATATGTGCATCGGCTACAACGCACTATACAATGTACGCAGCAAACCAGTAAACACTCAACACCACGATGACTGGGAAGACCAAAGCAGAGAAGTCCCCCAAGGCAGTCGCGTCTGGAACTGGCTCGCCCTCTGCGAAGGCAAAACCGTAATCTCCATCTCCGAAGACCCTTTCCCCTTCTCCAACGGCACCCTCACAGCCCAAGACCTGCGCACCCTCTTCACCACCCGCCGCAACCTCGTCAACGTCTTCCGCCAACTCAGCAAAGCACCCACCCCCCTCCGCGACGCCGCCCTGGTCCAACTGCCCCTCCGCCAGCGCCTAGGTAGAAGCCAAGAAGAAACCGCCCACCGCCCCACCGACGCCCCGGGCCTCCTCTTCTACTACCTCTTCGAAGACTGGGGCGCAACCTTTGACATCATCTCCCGCCGTGAACAAGGCTACGGCGCAGAACTCGACCGGCTCCGTCGTGAAATGCTCGTAAAAGCCAATCTGACTCATGTCGACCAACTCCACCACATCGGCTGCCAACTCAGCGTGCTAAAGCGTGTATATCAAAGCTACGAACTCATCATCGAGCGCGTCCTCCGCAAACAAGAAGTCACTCTCGCTTCCCTCAAGAACTCGCATATCCTCTCCGGCGACGCATCGCTATCTTCCACCTACGCATTCGGCGAGGCCCCAGCTGCGGCTGTGACGTCGCTCCCGCCTGGCGCCCTCATCCCCGAAGCAGATAGCCTGCTAGGTGTAGCCCTGAGCTCCGCAGCCCGCGTCCGCTTCGAGCGCCTCAAAGACCGCATCGTGCTGTATGCGCTCAGCGAGATACAGGAGTGCCTCGATCAGAAGGAGTCGCTTGTCATGATGAATTTCAATCTTATTGCCATCAAGGAGTCGTATAGTGTGGAGCGGCTCACGTGGGTTACGCTGCTGCTTGCGAAGATTACCATCTTGTTTACGCCGGTCACGCTGATGACGGGGTATTTTAGCATTCAGTTCAAGGACTTGGTGTTTGAGATGGGGAGCTATTGGCATAGCTTTGGCTATGTGTTTGGGGCCAGTGCGGCGTTGTTGGTGCTGTTTAGTTGGGTTAGTGGCACGTTTGAGGGCAAGATTGTTACGAGGAGTTGGACGAGGAAGGTGTATGATGGGGGGAGGAGGTGGTTGTCGGTGAGGAAGAGGAAGAGGGAAGATAAGGTGTGAGGGTGTGGTTATGATTGTGATTTCTATGTGTGGTCTCGGAGTTGGTGGATGACTTGCAATGTTATTTGTACTATAGGCATGAGAAGTAACAAGAATAATGGAATGTTGTATATTTTAAAAGAAATCGTTTAGGTGAAATTGGTGCAGTTAGATCGCAGAGAAGAGTAAGAATGCCTAGGCTGAATAAACATCTACTAACATGCATATACAAACACAAAGTCTAGTATCCTCATTCGTCGTCGTCATCGTCGTCATCACCAAAAATAGCCTTAAACACATCTTCAGACGCCCTATTATTCAAAAGTACATCGTTCTTCTCCACATCCACAGTCGCGTGCCCTGTCTGTGTAGTGGTCGCCGCAGAGACATCAGCAGCTGCAGCAGGTGAAGCAGAAGCTGCGGCCGGCTGATTCATCCAAGCTGGGCGCTGAAGAGCAGAACCATTCGTCAAAAACTCATGCTGCAACCTATCCATTGTGGCTTTGGAAACGGCCTCCTCAGTATGTGGCTTGAAGCTGCTTTCGCCCTCGTCAAACTCCGGTGGCATATCTGGCGGAGGCTTGACGTTGAAGCGCTTGCACAAAAGCCGAGAAGGGTGAAAAGGAAATGCAGTTCGCGTCATCGGACCGTACATGCCCAGTTTTGCAGCTGATTCAGCAGGATCCTCTGGCTTTGCTGCAGGCTGCCTTAGAAGATTGTCACCAGCTGCACCGCCGCCATCACTTCCTCCTATTGTAGAGGATGACGACGAGGTAAACCGTGATGCCATGATGCCAGTAGTTGGTTTAAAAACCTGTGCTGCATGAGCAAACTCTTGCAACTCCTTGACCCAATCTGAGACTGAAACTCCATCGGGGCGGTCTGGTAAATCGTTTTTCAGTCCAGCTCGCAGCTCCAGGAAGCCGACATATCGTGCGCGCTTGTCCAAGTCTTCTGCATAAGGCATCCAGCCAGTCGCACCCTTTGCAAGAGCACCAGCAGCGAGACTCTTCTCAAGAGGAGGTACAAGGTTCCACAAGTTCTTTGTCTCCGCTTTGTTTGCAGGCAAGTGCCCCTCTGGAGCAGACTCTCCAAGACCCTGGGGAAGATCGGCTTTGCCAGACAGGGCAGCAAGGCGATCCCGAGCATCCTTGGGTATGAAATCAAATATTGACTTGCCGGGCAGAGGTTTCTCGCCAAGCAAAGCTGAGCGATCCTTTGTATTGAGAGTCGACGCTTTCGCTGCATCTGCAACAGACTGGTATTCCTTTGATTCTGCCGTTGACGTCGCACTCTTAGAAGACTTCCAGCCCGGAGGTATCTTTGGGGGTGGGTATTTTGGCTTGCGTGCAACATCGGTAAAACCCGTTGCGAATACGAACCCCCTGAGCGGAGACTTTCCGTCTATAGAAGGTCGACTTATTAAAGCCAAAGCTTGCGATGGATTCTTTTTGGAAACAAAGACGTGCTTCTCACCAGCCCCTGGTTTGGCAAATTTGCTCGGCTTTTTCCCTTTCTTTTCTTTGCCGATGGTCTTGTTGAAGGTAATCTTAGGGCCCAATTCGTACGGATCCTCGTCATCGGAGCCAGTGTCGTTGAGGACACCCACGCCGAAGGAGGACTTGTTGGCTGCGGGCTTTTTAACAGCGGGCACTTTTTTGGGGCCTGGGAGATAGTGCAGGCTGAACTTTGAAGATGGATCTTCGGCTTGTTCGCCCACGACTCTCAGCTGTGCCTCCGAAATGTAGCCCAAGCCTTTGCGGCGCACCTCCTCTTTTGGCATATTCATGATGCGCGCATCTGGCGGCGCGAATAAATGTACAGAGTCTTGATGAGCACCGGCTGCACCATCTTCCAGGTTTGCGTTCCGGCGCACTTTTCGACCGATGCCCTGATCGCGTCGCCAGCCCATTTTCTGGGCAAGCTTGACACCCATAGTCTCTTCCTGGGTCATGAACAGGCCGAACAATCCATCATCGTTGTGTTGTCCCGATTCGCCGATACCAGCGAACGTGTTCGCCGTCTCCAACTGGCGCGATTCGGCTGCAGCTGCGAGATCCTCCTCGTCCATGAAATCCTCGGGGCGTTGTGCTTGACCAGCGGACTGGTCTTTGTGGCGATTGGCGCGGGAAGACACAAATGTCTTTGGAGTCCATCCTTCTTTAGAGCCAACTGTGTTAAAGTATCTTAGCATAGTCAAGAAGTCTTGCGCTCGCAGAAGAACAGGCTCAAAAACTTACCCTGCACTGAAGCCTCCGGTGAAAGCACCGTGTAGCCTGCGTCTGCCGCGCTCGTCGGTCACGGTTTGTTTCCATACTGGTACGAAAGCGCCATCGTCTGCTTCTTCTTCTGGTAGCTCTGTGCCCAGAAAGACGTACTTGGAAGGCCCTCTGCGAGAGCGCTTCTGGGTATCTGACGGGGAAGGAGCACGCGTGCGTTTGTATGTCATTACGAAGGCTGGGCGCAAGACGTGCAATGCGTTGGGCGGAGTGGGAGAGAGTTGTGTAGGATGTGGTGGTACTATGGCATCATGTGATTCTCATTGGCCGGCTGGTTGGTGTTGGGGCGAGAGGGAAAGTTACAGAGGTGAGCATGAGTAAGCAGTGCAGGGGTGACTAATCAGGCCGTGTGTGATTGGCTCGAACTCGGCTTGTCATTTACTACGAGGGGCAGTCACAATCTCTGCGGCTTCTCAGACGCACAGGCACGCGGAAGGGCGAGCAGCGACAGCAACAACGCACTCTGTTCGCCTTTGGTCGGGGATGAGCTTGTTGCTGGATAATAGCAGAGGGCCTATACATGGCGCCCAAATTGGATGCCGTTGACAAAGGGAGCTAGAGAGCGACAAGTGGGCCCGATGATGTAGTCCTGTGCCTGGCTCGTCCGGCCTAGCAGCCAAAGGGACAGGTGTGTATCAAGGCCAAGGCCCGGGACCCTTGATGCCGCAGTGGTAGGAGAGCAGGTAGGGGCGTAGATGCATTGGACGTTGTTTTTTGTAGGCCGGGCCAGGGTTGTTTTTGTTTATATTGCACCATGCAAGCAGATGGACATAGGGTCCTGGGAGACGTGCGCGGGTATGTGGTGAGAGTAGGATGTGTGTACGTAGGCGGTGGATGCGGTGCCTTTGAAAGGAGCAGTGTGTACCCCACTGGCATGCAGCCCAAAGGAGCAGCGGGCCTGGGCGTCGACACAGGCAGCCGGCCGGCATGATAGCTACTACAAGACCTCCACCAACACCACCAGACCCCATGCGATAGGCCGCAACAAAGACTCGCATCGGCCGTCTCGTCGCCCCCAACTGCCTCGCATACTCTTCATGCCCACAGTGTATCTACACATGTGTGTACACCAACCAGCCCATCCGCCCATCCACCAGTCCACGCAAAAAGAGCGCCGTCGGCAGCGACACCAGAGGGCGTGGTAGCATTGGCCCCTAGCCTCTTTGCCCTGGCACCGGCTCTGGCTCTGGCTCTGGCACCCACCCGCCGCCGCCGCCATACATACTTACCGTCTCCACTGCGACCCAGCTCGCACAGTCGCAGCAATCTCGTCAAGCTGTCTGCATAGGCCCGACGTGGTCGAGTTGAGCGCTCGCCCTACGCCCAGTGCGCCAGGTCCTCGCAGGCCCACGTCTGCTCCCTGCATTGTGTGTACCGCCGGCACCAGCACATCTTCGCCATGTCGTCGGCCGCTGCCCCAGCTTCGCCTGCTGTCGTGCGCACCTCTTCCACCTCGCGCAGGTCTGGAGACCGTCCCAATCGCTCAAACTCCTCCCAGGTCCGCCCCAGCTCCCACGCGCCTGCGCCCACGCCCGCTCGTCATCACCAGCCCGCCCTGAACAACGTCACCCGCCGCGACCACGAACAGTCCAACCTCGCCCAGGACCACCATCCGCCCTCCCGCCGCTCCGAGGACCCCTCGCGCCCCGACTCGAGCAGACGAAGCCATTCGCGGTATGCGTCTGACGCGTCGACGGCTTCTGCAATGCCCATCAACGGCGTAGCTGTCGATGCCCGAACGGTGCAACAACAGCCCGTCAACAAGCGCAGGACCACCATCACCGCCCCGGCCACCGGAACATGGGCGCTAGGCAAGACAATCGGTGCCGGCAGCATGGGCAAGGTCAAGCTCGCCAAGAACGTCGAAACTGGAGAACAGGTGCGTCCCTTTGCACGCCGCCCACATGGTCCCACGCCCATTGGCCTGGCCCATGGGCATGTTGCGTCTGTTAACCATGCACCCACCTCTGCTAACAACCCCCTCTTCTAGGCCGCCGTCAAGATTGTGCCTCGCCAGTCGCAAGATCAGCATCAGAGCGCTGCTGATCGTGAGCGAGCCGACCACTCCAAAGAAGTCCGCACCGCCAGAGAGGCCGCCATTGTCAGCCTCCTCAGCCACCCTTATATCTGCGGCATGAAAGATGTCGTCCGGACAAACTTCCATTGGTACATGATGTTTGAGTTTGTCAATGGCGGTCAGATGCTCGATTACATCATCTCTCACGGCCGTCTCAAGGAAAAGCAGGCTCGCAAGTTTGCCCGCCAGATTGCCAGTGCCCTTGACTACTGCCACCGAAACAGCATCGTCCACCGCGATCTCAAGATTGAAAACATTCTTATCAGTAAAATGGGCGATATCAAGATTATCGATTTCGGTCTCAGCAATCTCTTCTCTCCCCGGAACCAGCTCAAAACCTTTTGTGGAAGTTTGTACTTTGCCGCCCCCGAACTCCTCCAGGCTAAGCAGTACACCGGCCCCGAAGTCGATGTCTGGAGTTTTGGTATTGTTCTCTACGTCCTCGTCTGCGGAAAGGTGCCCTTTGACGACCAGAGCATGCCCCAGCTGCACGCAAAAATAAAAAAGGGGCATGTCGACTATCCACCATGGCTTTCTACTGGTATGCTTTGGTCACCAATCGATATTTCGATCTATACTAACATTGCATAGAATGTCGCAATCTAATACACCGGATGTTGCAGACGGATCCCGCCCAGCGACTGACACTTTCAGAGATCATGGTCCATCCCTGGCTGACAAAGGGCTTTAACAGCCCCCCAGAAAACTACCTGCCCCATCGAGAACCCATTCAACTGCCCCTGGACCCTGAAGTTGTTGAGAAGATGCAGGGGTTCGACTTCGGCACAACTGAATACATCACCGCGCAATTGACCAATGTGATCCAGTCGGAAGAGTATCAACGTGCTGTGCGACTGGCAGCACGCAAGGCTACCGCACAGACGCCAGACACGGAAAAGAAGAGGGGAATGTTTGACTTTTACAAGAGGCGGAATTCAATTGGGAGCAGAGAGCAGTTGACGGCCTCTTCCTCTGAAGATATCCAAAGAGGATTGGATCCCGTGAATGCATACAGCCCTCTGTTGTCGGTTTACTTCCTCGTCAAAGAAAAGAGAGATCGTGAGCGGCTCGAGACCGCCGACCCAGGCCCGGTGGCTATCCCTCAGGCTCCAGAAGAGAAGCCACTCAAAATGCCGGACCTCCCAGCACCACCAGCTGCGTATACCAATTCAGCAACTTACGAAATGGCGGGCGAGAAGCCTACAGGCGGGCGATCACGACCTAGAGCAAGGACACATGGTGAGGACGATATTACCGACAGTCTGAAGAGAGTGGATCTAAACAGTCTGCCACCGGTTCTTCCCCCACAAGTTGAGCAGCAAAAGAAGGAGGGAGCCGCCGCTGGCCTTTTGCGTCGCTTCAGTACTAGAAAGTATCGCAGCCATGACAAGGAAAAGGTGGAACCGTTGCCACCACCACCCACGCCAGCTGTTGCAATTTCAGGTCCCCCTGAGGTAGTTTCTGCGCCCCCAACTTCAGTTCCAAGGAAGAGCTTTAGTATTCGACGGACACGCGATCGTGATGCAGGATCAGCCTCACATCTTCCCGCCAACGCCAATAACCAGCCTGAATTGCTCTCACCTCCTGGAACTAGCAACACTGCCGCCCGCAAACTGAAAGCACTTGGCCGCTCCACCAGTGTTAACTCGGCAGATCTGCGCAGACGACTCAGTCGACGGGGACGATCTTCAGAAGATCCCGGAAATCCTCCACCCACAAGCGGATCAGACAGATCCGAGATGAGTGCGAACAAGACTCGAGCAGCCAACGATGCTGCCTCGGACGACCTTTCTTCAAGCTCACGACATAGTCAGACCTCGCGGGCGAAGTCTCTGGGTCATGCGCGAAGAGAGAGCATACAGGCCCGACGCGCTAAGAGAGAGCAGGCAAAGGAAGCGAATGTGCCCGAGGAGACGGATGCAGAACTTGCAGAAGCGCAAGCAGAAGCCAGTCGGAGTCCAGATGCCGTCAAGCCCGTTTTTCTCAAGGGCTTGTTCAGCGTCTCTACTACCAGCACAAAGCCGCTCACCGTCATTCAAGATGACTTGATCAGGGTTTTAGACCAGCTGGGCGTAGAATGGACTGAAATCAAGGGTGGATTCAGATGTCGACACTCACCTAGTATCGACATGAATAGGGCGATGGATTCGCCTGCATCGCCACCCGTCGGAGGACATAAGAGGAGAATCAGCTTTGGGGGCTTCATTGGTGGTGACAAAGAGCGTGACGAACTACGGGACCAGACCCGCAATCCCAACACACCAAAATCACGCTCACGACCATCTCCCGCAGACCGCAGCTATACGAATACTGATGAGTCTGATGGCAGTGAAGACCGTGACGAGCGACGACCACGACGTGCAGTACCTGCTGGCGAAACGTCGACGCATGTACAAAGCGACATGGGCTCCAACATGAACCTCGTGTTTGAGATATTGATCGTCAAAGTCCCTCTGTTGACATTGCATGGTATTCAATTTAAGAAGGTGGATGGAGGAACTTGGCAGTACAAGAACATGGCTCAAACTATTCTTTCAGAGCTTAGGCTATGATGATTCTTTGTTGTAAGGGGAGTAGGAGAGTTTTTGACGTTTTTTTTTCACTTCGGATATTGGCAGGCAGACGTCAATTTTTGGAACTTCAACTATGCACTATAATTCTTTTTCTCTTTTTCTCTTGGTTCAGAAGGGTTTGGGAGCAGATTTTTCTTATGAGTAGAACCACCGCCCACGAATTTCATTTGTCATTTGCCCTGTAATGGTTGGAGCGGTCGGAGCAGATGGGAATCTTAGAAGTCTGATATCAATGAATTGTGAATCGAGCTCTCTCTCCCCTTTACAGGGTCGTGACCTGGCTGGACCCTTGCGGTGACTCGTGCTCCTCTCACTGCTGCCTCAGCGCCTTCACTGTATTACTTTGATTGGCGCACTTACAAACGTTATACTGTTGCCCAAGCTGCACCTGATGCGGATGCGCTGTCGATCTCCGTCGAAAGCACAAGCTCCCGCAGGCGCCAAGGCGCTCGCGCCAGTGGGGTGCTTCGCGGCCTCATCTCTCGAGTGCAGCCAGAACAGACTCACCACGCCCCAGTCTCCATCGCCTACCCTTCGACCCACCAGCCTATTCTTTGATCGCTTGTCGCTTTCTATTTAGACCCGCGTAAACGACTTCATCTCACCAATACCCCGCAATACCCGCGAAACCGCTACGACCCGCAGCCAATGCAACATTTCCTCGCGCATCAGCAACAGTATGGCGAGTGGGGTCAGGGCCACCACCAGCAGCCGCAACATCACGTAGCCCAACATGGACAGCATCAAGCGCAGGCCGCCCAGTTGCATGCCCAGCAGCAGGCTCAGGCGGTTCAAGCAGCTGCGCAGCGCCAGTACCACCAGCAGCTTGCGGCCAACAATGGCTCCACGCTGCCCGGAAACAACGCCGTTCCCCGAGGACCTGCCAACGACGTCCAGGCAGCCGATGTCGGCATGACTGATGAGAATAGGCGCGTGTTGGAATGGGTAACCCAGCTTATGAAGCCTGCTACTAGGGAGGCCGCGCTTCTGGAGTTGAGCAAGAAGCGGGAGCAGGTCCCCGAGCTGGCTCTGATTCTCTGGCATTCTTTCGGTATAGCTGCCAGATGTTTAACACTTCAAATGCAGTGCTAATCACTTTCCATTAGGTGTTATGGCTTCTCTCCTCCAAGAGATCATCTCCGTTTACCCGCTGCTTAACCCTTCGCAATTGACCGCCGCAGCATCTAACCGTGTCTGCAATGCTCTCGCGCTTCTTCAATGCGTGGCTTCTCATACTGAAACCCGTGGCCTGTTTTTGAGTGGTATGTTACACGTCCCGTATTGTACTAAACTGGCTAACGACTAACAGCGCACATTCCGCTCTTCCTGTATCCGTTTCTCAACACGACGTCCAAATCACGACCCTTCGAATACCTACGTCTTACGTCTCTCGGTGTAATTGGCGCTCTGGTCAAGAACGACTCTTCTGAAGTCATCAATTTCCTTCTCACTACTGAGATTATCCCACTTTGTCTCCGTATCATGGAGACGGGCTCGGAACTCAGCAAGACTGTGGCGATTTTCATTGTCCAGAAGATCTTGCTGGACGACATTGGACTTGCATATATCTGCCAAACCTACGAGCGTTTCTATGCCGTAGGCACCGTCTTGAGCAATATGGTCAATCAGCTCGTTGAGCAACAGACGGTTCGCTTACTGAAGCACGTTGTGCGTTGCTTTCTCCGGTAAGTTGCTTTGTCGTTCACCTCCCCGTCCTCCATCTAACCCTAGACAGCTTGAGCGATAATGCTCGCGCTCGCGAGGCGCTGCGCCAGTCCTTACCCGAGCCGCTCCGAGATGCTACTTTCTCCTCTGTTCTGCGGGACGACGCTGCCACCAAGCGCTGCCTTGCTCAACTCTTGATCAATCTCTCCGACAATGTTGTCGACGCGGCAAATAACCAACAGCTCATGCACTGAGATGGCGAATGATGCGCTGGCTCTTTGACAAGTTCTGACAATTGGCCTGGGTATGTCCAGTGGTCCTGAACAACCCTTTCTCGCCTTCTGTATATCTACGGCTTCGGCTTTTACTCCATTTGGCACGGTAGCCTGTGTGCGCAACATACCCCTTGGTTTGATCTGGTTTGACTTATGGAAACGGTGTGAATTCGGCGTTAGGGTTTCTCATATGGGATACCCGTAGCAGCAGTCTTTTGTGGCATGTGCTACTTCTTGCGTTATTATTTTTCTTCTTTGACTCTGATGGTCATGGCGAGGAGTTTGGGGCATTGCATGGCGTAGTGCACATCCATGCATGGCAAAAAGCGACTGTATATTACTATAGTTATTCTGCCTACGGGCGTGCGAGAAATGTGGAAGTATGGGACGACCTTGTGCATTGGATTTTCGTCTTGTGAAGTGGTTGACAGGAACTGTACAACATACAGGCAGGAGATGGACATATGAATTGATGAATCTATCTTTCCAAAAGGGATACATGGCCTGACAAATTGTGACTCATATATCAATCTATTCTGTTGGTTCTACATTACTCGCAACCTCATTTACCGTTGTTGCATTCAGATACTGCTGCCTAGTTTCACTAAAGCGGTTTAGCGTGGTATTCGCTAGCGCGCCTCCTCGCCCACATTGAAATCCACTGCTACTCGCCTCTCTTCTTCCCAATACCAACAACCTTGACAGAGCCACCAAAGGAACCGATATCCTCTGGGAGACACATCAGCCAACATGTCGAAAATCTCTGTCGCCGGCGTTCGTACGAACGTTCAACAGCTCCTCGAGTACTCCAACGAGACCAAGAAGAGGAACTTCCTCGAGACCGTCGAACTCCAGATCGGCCTTAAGAACTACGACCCCCAGCGTGACAAGCGTTTCTCGGGAACCATCAAGCTCCCTACGCTTCCCCGTCCTCGTAAGTCGATGGCAGAGAGTATTGGAGTTGGGCATGAGCTAATGGAGGTGAACAGGCATGAGCATTTGCGTTCTCGGTGACCAGCACGATATCGATCGTGCCAAGCACCATGGTGTTGATGCCATGAGCACTGATGTGAGTACTATGGCACAATATCTATCAGAATGTTTCTGACAAAATGATACAGGACTTGAAGAAGCTCAACAAGAACAAGAAGCTCATCAAGAAGCTCGCCAAGAAGTACGATGCCTTCATGGCCTCCGATGCTCTCATCAAGCAGATTCCCCGTCTCCTCGGACCCGGTCTCTCCAAGGCCGGAAAGTTCCCTACTCCCGTCTCCCACAACGAGGACCTCGCCAACAAGATGAACGAAGTCAAGTCCACCATCAAGTTCCAGTTGAAGAAGGTTCTCTGCATGGGTGTCGCTATCGGCAACGTTGGCATGACTGAGGATGAGCTGATTGGCAACATCATGTTGGCCATCAACTACCTCGTCTCTCTGCTTAAGAAGGGATGGCAGAACGTGGGCTCCTTGACCATCAAGGCCACCATGAGCCCTCCCAAGCGTCTCTACTAGAGTGTTTGTCGTTGCGTCTGCTGGGTTTTTCCGTGGCCATCTGTCGAAAGATGGGTGGCCATGTTTTACCATCTGACGGAATCTTGATGGATATTATTGGATGGGTCTAGCTAGCTTGAATGCATGCATGAACCTGCCACTCTTGATTGTCTTTGTGTCTGCATCGTGATGAGTCTGTGTTGTTGTCGCATGATGTGATATGCTATATGTATTTGATGCTGAGATTGTGCTACGACCTTGACAACCAGCCATCTGTGTTGCCTGACCCACTTGTAGCCCACACCGCACAGGCGTCCTTTGGTAAATTTTTCTCAATGTCCTCACAATTTTTCGCCCACTTTCCCAGCCTCAAATGATGACTAATCTAGCGCTCATCCACGCACGGACCCGCCCCGCCTTCCCGCCTCCCTCGGTCTATAAAGCACAGCCGGCCTCCATCCCTCTTCCTTTTTCCTCATCATCAGTTGGTAATCTACATACCTAAAACAATCGTGGCTCCGCGAAAGCGGCTTGCTGAGAGTTATCCTACCTTTTCCTCTGTGGATAGTTCTCCGTTCCCGGCCCCGTAGAGAGATATCCGCCCGTCTTTCCTTACCAATTGCAATTATCCGTGAAAAGATGGATTGGAGTTGTGGGATGGTGTGGGACATTATTCTTTTTGCTACACATTTATGGAATGTGTGTTTTTGCGCTTGAGATTTGAGAGTGATGCGATGCTATGTTGTCGTGTGCGAAATGTTGCTTGTGAGCATTCGTGCGGATGAAGCTCTGCAAAAATTTTATGGGAACATCATCGTCGAATTCAGACGGCATCAACGTCGAGCATCAGAGAGCATCGGTTCAGTGTCAAGCATGAGAGCCTAGAGCATTTTTTGCAATCGTTGACAAGCTCTTTTGGTTGCGATGCGGAGTTCTCGTTGCTGCGTGCTCATCTCATGCCGACTGTTTGATAGTGACAACTGCAGCAGGAGAAACCAGACGCCATTCATATGCCTACTATACAAAGTGGAGATTACACGCTATGCAACAAAACTATGCTATCTAATCCAAGCTCTATAATGCTCCCTCAGCGCCGTCGTGCCGCCCTCCACTTGTTAAATGCATCATCTGCCGATTCGCTGCTGATTCCACATCGCTCGCCCAGCACACTCCATGTACGCATGCGTACAATCTTCTCCACCGCACGCTCGTTGCGCATGAGCGTAGCCAGACTCTCTGTCCTCGCTTCTGCAGGAAAGTAGCGCCCAGAATATGGATCTAACCGCTCATCTACCGTGCGCTCTCTCGCTTTGGCATCTTCAATCTGCCGTAGAAGACTGTCCGGGTCGTCTGGATCCGGCGATGTCGCAACGCCGGCGCAATAGTCTAGTACATCTGATCGCACTGCCCAGCTGGGGAACAGCACTTTGTCCTTGAACCCTTCACATTGCTCTGGATCCAGGGCCCTGGGATGGCCCGGCGGTGATAGCTGTCGTGTGCTTGTCGAGTTGGGATCGAAGCCTCGTTGCGCCGGGGTGAGGAGAGCGTTGAGGTTCTGTGTTATCGAGTCGTCGATGCTGCTGCGGGATATGCGGAGGAAGTCTGTTGTTCAGCCGGCTTGCGTATTAGTTAGTGGGCTGGGGGGAGAATTTGGCAAAGAGATCGAGGGGGTGCGCTCACCTCGGAGTGCAGTTTGGTTGAAGCAGAATTGTGGCGTGAGTTGAGGTTGCGCAGAGGGTTTAGACATGGTGGGCGGCGGTGGAGGATCCCGGTGTTTCCAGAAGTAGGACGCCAGTTTTGAGGATGTTTTCGTTTTTCTTGTTACATGTACAGTGGTGTGACTTTGGGATTTTGCAATGGCAAAGTCATGACGCTTCAACGATGCCGCCTAATCCATGTCGGATGAATGATGTCAGCAGGGGTCGTTGGGGTTGGGGGCCGGGGCCGCTTGACTTTCGCGTTTGCGGCGAGCCAGGCGCGACGCGCCTTGTAGAGTGCCTGCCTGCCTGCCTAGGCAACTATACCCTACCTACCAACAGAGCATGCCCCTCCGCTTCAATGCTTCTCGTTTCTGTTTAAAATCGCGCCTTCCCTTGACTTTACAACCCTCGCCTCGATCTTTGCATTCATCTCCCCGCTTATTACGTCGAAATTGCCTACCGTTGCATTGGAGTGCGGATCACAGTGGTGCTCTCACAGCCATGGCTCCTAAGCAAGCTACACTTGGGTATGTAAAGTCTTCTCAGACTACTCTGGGGTGCGACGATACCCTTAGACAGTCTTTTGGTGGCAATGCAGTGCTGATTGTTTTTCAATAGAAAGTTCTTTGGAAAACCCAACGGCGATGCAAAGCAGCAATCGAAACTAGCCTTTTCTACGAAACCGAAGTCAAGCAAGAAGGATTCAACACCGCAGGAAGAGCCACAATCCTCGCCAAAGGACCTGAAGAAGGAACAAGATGAGGAAGCCGACTCAGATGCAGAGGTCAGAGCGCCGGTGAAGGAGCAAGTAGAATCAGATGGCGAGGCAATGGAAGTCGACAGCGTAAGCTCTGAGACTGGCAAGAAGAGGCAAATCAAAGAAGAAGCAGAGGAGGAGTCTGAGGAGGAACCTCCAAGCAAACGTCAACGAAGAAAACCTTCGCCGAAGAAGACGGTCGCACAACCAAAAGCTGAAAAGGCATCGCCCAAGTCAAAGAAATCTGCTGCTAAATCCAAGGCTGCAGAGCCAGAAGATGAGGAAGAGGAAGCATCCACAAAGACCAAGAGCAAGAAGGGCAAGAAGGAGGCTGAAAAGTCTTCTGCACTAGCAAAGGAGGAAACCGAATCGAGCAAGGAGCAAGAAGAGGATGAGGCAGTTAGCTCTGAAGAGGAGCCTGAAGAGGTCAAGGTCAAGGCACGGAAGCAAGTACAGGCAACCCTTGCGTCCAACACCAAGGACCCATATCCCGATTGGAAACCAGGCGAGCCAGTCCCATATGCGGCGTTGTGCACAACTTTTTCGAAGATTGAGATGACGACGAAGCGCCTGGAGATTCTTGCACACTGCTCCTTGTTCTTGAGACAGGTTTTGCGGTTGACTCCATCTGATATGCTGCCGACTGTCATGCTCATGGTCAATAAGCTTGCAGCCGACTATGCAGGTATTGAGCTCGGTATTGGCGAGTCACTAATTATGAAGGCGATTTCTGAGAGTACCGGTCGAAGTTTACAACATATCAAGAGCGACCAAAACGAGATTGGAGATCTGGGCCTTGTTGCAGCCAAGAGTCGATCAAAACAACCCACCATGTTCAAACCCAAAGCATTGACAGTCGAAGGTGTGCGCAAGGGACTGATGGCCATCGCTACTATCGAAGGACAAGGTGCTCAGGGGCGCAAGGTTGATGGAATCAAGAAACTGCTATCAGCGGCAGATGCGCACAACTCTGGCAAGAACGTTGATATTGAGAAGGACAAAGGTGGACCCAGTGAAGCCAAGTTCATCGTCCGAACCCTCGAGGGTAAGCTTCGATTAGGCCTTGCTGAGAGGACCGTTGTCGTAGCCGTCGCACAGGCAATGATATTCCATGAGATGTCACTTCAAGGCAAAACACCGTCGACGGAGGACTTGGGCAAAGCCGAAGCTATGCTAAAGACAGTGTACAGCGAGCTGCCAAGTTACGAAGTCATCATCCCAGCAATGATTGAGCACGGCATCATGAACCTGCGCGAGAACTGTCGCCTACAGCCCGGTGTACCTCTGAAGCCTATGCTTGCCAAGCCAACAAAGTCCATCACGGAGGTGCTAGATCGCTTTGAGGGCAAGGACTTTACCTGTGAATATAAGTATGACGGAGAGCGTGCACAGATTCACTTTGTCGCTCACGATGCAAAGATTGAGCTGGCTACTGAAGCACCCAGTGCTGGCAAGAGCGAGCGCGGCGTGTCCAACATTTTCTCGCGCAACTCTGAGGATTTGTCCAAGAAATATCCTGACATTCTCGCCAAGCTGCCGACTTGGGTTAAAGAAGGTACAAAGAGCTTCGTTCTCGACTGCGAGACGGTTGCCTGGGATATGGTAGAGAAGAAGGTGCTTCCTTTTCAACAGCTCATGACGAGGAAGAGGAAGGATGTCAAGGTCGAAGACGTCAAGGTCAAGGTTTGCGTTTTTGCCTTTGATATCCTCTATCTCAATGGCGAGGTATGTATCACACCTCTTGCTTAGTGATCGATTGCTGACATAATTAGGCGTTGGTAACAAAGTCATTCCGTGAGCGTCGCGAGCATCTCAAAGAAGCCTTCGTGCTTGTCGAAGGCGAGTTTGCATTTGCCAAGTATGGCAACACCAACGAACTAGAGGAGATCCAAACACTCCTTGAAGACTCAGTAAAGGAAGGCTGCGAAGGTCTCATGGTCAAGATGTTGGACGGCCCAGAGTCTTACTACGAGCCATCCAAGCGCTCGCAGAATTGGCTCAAGGTCAAGAAGGACTACCTTGCCGGCGTGGGTGATTCACTGGATCTTGTAGTGCTGGGAGCCTACTACGGCAAGGGCAAGCGTACCAGTTGGTATGGTGCCTTTTTGCTTGCCTGCTACAATCCTTCGACGGAAAAGTACGAAACAGTCTGCAACATTGGTACTGGTTTCTCTGAAGCCATCCTGGAAACTCTGCACAAGACGCTTTCTGAGATTGTCATCGATCGCCCGAAGCCATTCTACACACATTCGACTGGTAACAAAGACCAGCCTGACGTGTGGTTCGAGCCGCGATATGTGTGGGAGGTCAAGACTGCAGACCTCACCTTGTCGCCGCGGTACAAGGCAGCTGCGGCTGAAGTTGGCGGCGGTGGCAAGGGTGTCAGCTTACGCTTTCCGCGTTTCATCAAGGAGAGGGAGGACAAGAAGCCGGATCAGGCGAGTTCAAGTCGTATGATTGCGGAAATGTACCAAAGGCAGGAAAGCGTGGCCAAGAACAAGGGGCCTAGTGTTGATGATGACTTCGAGTATTGAACAGCATCGGAATGATAGGGATAGGAAAATAATAACTGTTATGAGGGAAAATGATTGTCTTGCCGTGTACGCTTTGTTGTATGTGTATGTGTGCATGTGTGTGTGTGTTTTTGACTTGTTACTCCTAGCACTCCCAACAAAAAAAAATGTAGATTGACGCCGGAGTTGTGAACCAGAAATAGTAGGAACTATGTATGATCCCTGCACTGGACCTATCCGCCATCCCTATTTTCCGCACACATGTTGATATTACGCCTAGTTCTCTGGTTAGCGTCCATAGTGTAGGTATGCAGATCAATGTCAAATGTACATGGGTAAGCGTCTACGGTGAGCTATGTCAGCTGCATTTTTTTTGAAGATTAAAACTTTCCAGGCCAAAACCTGAGCATAGGGTGTTGAAGCACCCATCTATCGTTGTTAGCACCTGCTGCTTTGTACAAACCCCCCCGTCTTCTCCACCACAGGCCAAGCCAAGCTACTGTTTTCACGGGAATAAACGCTGTGTCCACCTCGCCATTTTGTTTCCGCCTCGCCACCCCAAGTGGAACACACATGTACAGTGTGTAAGTGACAATATTAGCCAAGAGCTGCAGGCGAGATGTGAGGTCTGTTTTAGATCTCGATCGCATCTCCGCGGACTGTATCCCGCGCAGGACGTTCCGCGCAAGGCATACCGCGCATATTGATCTGCTCAGCGGCTCCCCCTTACGCAATCCTTCCGTTTGTCTTGGACATAGCCCTATAAGCAATCCTTGATGACAGGACTGTAACGGGAAAAAGCGGAGTGCGCCTAATGTACCATCTTTGCATACCGCGTAGGCGCGAGACTATGCACTTCTGGAACGTCAAAAATGGCCACTATGCACCCCACCCTGGAGCGGCAGGTGGCTATCTTTTTTTCTCTCTGTCTATCAATCAGACCACAAAGTCTTCAAACACTAGCGAGATGGGGGAGGGGGGACGAACATCACGTGGCTTGTGTGGGAACAAACCTGTTTGATGAGAGCCCTCTACTGTGGCCGCCAGCAAAATTTGCCTCTGGACCAGCATGGGCAATGGCGACTGACAGAGAAGACAGTAATAAAAGAAACATGTTACGGACAGCAGCAGCGGCTCCACCTCGCCGGCGCTCGAGGGTAGGGAGCGTTGAGCATGGGCGTATGCAGGGCCGTCATGGATGTATACCTCCAGCTGGAATCTCCTTCCAACCATTTTGACTGGCGGTTGGAAAAGAAGCATGTATGACTCTTTGGGCTTTACTGGATTAATCGTCGTGCCGCTATGTGCCTGTAGACAGGATTAGATGGACGCAGGCGCAGTGGCAAACTGCCCTGAGCGCGCAATCTGATTGGCGGACGGATAGCCGGCCTTCTTACACGTATGCGGACGCAGACACGCTGCGAGGACCTGGGCTCGGGCTACATTCAGCAATTCGATACGGAAAGAATGTCGAGTGCCTGAGTGCCCGAATCGGGGCTGGTTGGGTAACAGTAACATTTCAGAGGGTGAAGACTAGAAAGACCACCAGTCTCTTCAGTCGTACAGGCAAGACCGCGGCAATTTTTTCCCCCAAACCCTACGTCGGTCCAGTGCTTTCGTCACATTCTCATATTTGGAACCGGTCGCACCCGCACTTCTCTACTACTACCATTTTATCCCACTCGCTGGTCTGTGGAACTCTTTCCTACCCTCCCCTTCTGTGCTCGAGGCTCGCCCGGCTCCTCTGTCTCTCGAGCAGACAAGCGGCTTCTGCCCCAGTCGGCTTCTGTTGGCCCCCTGTGACATGCAATCACAGCAGTCAAATTCAGCTGCTCCAGGGGAAAGTGCTGGGGGCCGGCCTCTTCGTGCTCTGCTCCCCGCAACATCACCCAGGAGTGAGCCTCCGCCCACACAGTCAAAGCGAGCTCGCGTAACCCTAGCTTGCGCGGCATGCAGAACTCGCAAAACCAAGGTACAGATTTAGTGCCTGCATGAACAAGCAAAGCGGTATAGACGGCGTCTGATGTGTACCTTTCTAGTGTAATGGCGAGCGCCCTCAGTGTAGTGAGTGTGCGGCTCGTGACAGCCAGTGTCAGTACAAGGAAACGGAAACTGCCCAGACCAAGCGTAAGCATCAGGACCTAGAACAGCTGTTCGAGTTACTCAAGTCGCTGCCGTACGAGGACGCGTCCGAGACACTAGCACGAATCAGGGCGGGTGAGGAGCCGCGGGACATTGTCGAAACCATTACGCATGGCAATGTGCTTATGCAGATTGCCACGGAGCTCGGGGGCAACAGGCCTAGTGCTGATGAGAGTCCGACTAAGAGCAGGAGAGGGAGCGTCAGCGGCATTGAAGATGAAGAAAAGACCGAGTCTGAGAGTGCTGGCGGCGTTGGTGCTGGTGCTGGTGCTGGCAGCAGCGGGGATACACAGGAGCTAGAGCCAAGGACGGCAGACGTACCAACGAGAGAAAAGAGCCGGTGAGACAGTCATGAGAAATACTACGCTACGTTTCGGAGATCGCTCCGCACAACCGACAAGCCGACCTTTGACAGCCGTTGCATAGATGGACGGGGGGACCCGTGGAGGAGTGTCCCCCCGTTCATTGATTCGGCCACAGCCCAAACGAGACACGCACGTCGATGTCCCATCTCCCCAGAATTACGCATGAGAACTGGTAGTTTACATTTTCTGTGCGTCCAAAATTTACCTTGTCCTTGTCGAGGCGTCGAATTCAAATCATGTATCCATACTTTATCTTGTCTTCAAGCTGTAAGTCGAAGCAATAATACTACTAGTCATCTCTGATTAAGTATACTCCTAAGTTGTGACTAGAAATGTCCTCGAGAAAGCCTTCGCCGTCAATAATTGCCTTGTCTCCCCCAGGGAGTTCTCCAAGTTAACGTTTGTCCTCCAATCTAACTCTGTCCAACCCAACCGCAAATCACTGCCAGCACGTTCTTCGAACCACCCGAAACCCGCCCTCGCAACTCAGCGCCCCGTTGATGAACCGCGAAGTCCGCAATCTCACGTTCGATATCCCTATCGAAGCCGATTCTCCTCGCCTCAGCGTTCTCTTCAGCCCACGACTCACAAAACAAATCCTATCCGTATACCAGACCACGCTTTGAACCATACCTCTCAGAGATGTCTCAGAGCTGTCTACACGCTTTCGTCCCAGGGTTCACACAGTACCTTTATGCGTCCCACAATTGTCATACCAGTAGCGCATATATAATCGAGAATCGTCATATGTGACTTGTTCTGCCTACACAGAATGCATTAGTCAATCCCCTCCTCCCTCCTCCCATGATTATAAGACTCTGTCTGGCCGACACTCAACAGAGTCCGTTTGCGTTCCACGCTGATTCCATACACCCACGCTTATTTTGGGGGGAAATGGGAAATTTGACATACGGTAACATGCAGTCCAACCGCTTCTTCCGCGCCAGTTTTTTTGGGCTTGTCGAACACGTAGCACGCTTTTTTTTCAATACAGTATTTTGCAGGCAAAACACTGCACCTTCCGGAAACTCTTAGCTGGTGGTGAGATTGTTAGCCACCTTGACTCTGAGGAAGAAACAATTCATCCACGTTTGGTTGTTTGACTTGAATGGCACGACTGCATACAACAACTTATCTAAATGTTCTGTTGTTGATTCAAGTAATAGTCAAGAGGTACATCTAGAGAACAAATACAAGACAATAAACCATATTTCCTGTTGCCAAAAAAAGTATTCCAGACTCTTTGTTGTGATCTACGCTGCACCGAAGATTATCGGTAATTGTTGATACGCAAGCGTCTAATTTATGCTTATCTTACAAGGCCCCCTGTACATTCTATACGAGCTAAACGATTCATACTGCGCCAATCGATATTCACAATAAGAAATAAAAATAAAGTTGCTCGTCAGCACTGGACAATTTACATGTGAATATTCAGGATGGACACTGCAAGAACAAAAAAAGAATGTCGCTAATACTTGGCGGTACTGGGAACTGTAGACATGTTAGAAGATGTCTCAGGACCACCAATGTTTTGTGAGGTTGAACGTACTCGAACCCAGGCTGGCGCGGATCTGGATCGGGACAACAGAGTTGTCCGCCAGCCACAACGCGACGTCATACCACTAGACCATACCACCGTAAGGTGTTTGATGTTGTTTTGATGGAATTTTGAATATTTAGACACATTATATAGTAAGTGATTCAGAAGATTCGCAGCTACGACAAGATTGCTGTGTGCAGTCCCACCATCGCCTACGTAAATGGTGGGGCAGGGACCCCCGGCAAAATCGTGCGCCTCATGTTTTCACGTGCATTGTCGGAATTGGAACGTAGTTTGAAGAATCTGACCTCCGTCCTTTGGACGTACCTCACGCATGGCGACTTTGAAGGGTATTGGCTATAGCGGCTCGCTTGATGAATATATGCTCTGTTGGGAAACTCTGTATTGGCCCACGTTGAGGCACTGTGACAGGAACAAAACTCAAGCATATTCATAGATAGCAATTTAACTTGAAGGTGAAGCTTGCATTTGTTTGGTGCTTATGATGAGGTTATCTTTTTCCAAACAGAGTAATCGTCCGAACTATCTCTCAAGGCATACGCAGGTAGCAGGTGGTTTCTAAATTACCCTTACACACAGAATGAACAACACAGTGTGTACCAATTCTCCAAGTCATGTTATGATAAAGATTGTAAATGGTTGACTACTGCATATTCATCAGGGAATGTTGAGCTGGAGCGAGAATGGATCGGGAACGGTGTTAGGCTAGGTCGCCCGTTCCGATTCGATTCCGGTTTTGCCGACAAGTCGGGAAATTTTCTGGATGCGCAAAGCAACACTCCAACAGCCATCTCAGCCAAAAACACCAACCATGGCCGAACCAGGTGCGCAGACCCCGCCTGCTGGCGGGGCATCCCCAGGGTCTGGGAAACGTCCAAGGCCTCCAAATCCCGTCTGGAGAATGATGGGTACGTTTTTTCTCTCTTCTTTTGCCTGGTAATAGGCTTCCAACTAACAGTCACAGGTCTGCCAAACTTTCGCTTTAAGCTACCGTCGCGCAATTGGATGATATTCCTTTCTATTACTGGATCATGGACTGCGGCGGTAACGTACGATCGCCGGCAGAAAAGGCGCATACAAAAGAAATGGGCAACGGTGGTAGAGCATATTGCACATGAGCCACTCGACGTACATCAGCTGCCCCGAAAGCTCACGGTATATCTATCTGCACCACCGATGGATGGCTTGGTGTCTGCGCGCGATCACTTTCACGAGTATGTTAAGCCTATTCTTGTTGCAGCAGCGATGGATTGGGATGCGGTTGAGGGTCGAAGAGAAGGGGATGTCAGAGCAGGTTTAGCAGAGCGGATACGAAAGTTGAGGAAGAGAAGAGGAGAGCCAACTGCTGAGCCCATAGAACCAGGTCTTGCGGAGGATCTGGAAGGCTTAAGGCAAAGAGCAGGAGTAAGCGAGTGGCCTGGCCCTGGAGGAGATATTGTTATCGGAAGACACACATGGAAAGAATATGTGCGGGGACTGCATGAGGGCTGGTTGGGTCCATTGGACCCTCCGCCAGCGCCAGAACCGTTGATAGAGGTAAAGCCAGTGGAAAACACTACCACCACACCTGCTACAGCCGACGACGCATCTCCCACAGCAATCACCAATCCCGAAAAGCTAGAAGAGGCAGAAAAGCCAAAAGAGGAAGAGAAGAAAACGAAGAAAAAACAACCCCCACCTTTTATCTCGACAGCCGAATATCAGAACGCAACGCTTTCTCCAAACTGCCCACAGGCCCTCGGTCCTGCGGCCATCATTCCTTTCCCGCACCTTCTCGGCTTCTTTAATTTCCCAATCCGCATGTACCGCTTCTTGAATCAGCGAAAGGTAGCGGAAGTCGCTGGTAAAGAGACTGCAGCTGCAGTTCTGGGTGCGTATCGACCTTTCGAGTCTTCAGGTGAGGGTATCGACGGGGAGCCAGAACAGAAACAAGTACTCGCACATGAAGAGCCAGACTGGCACAAGAGCGCGAAGAAGCGGGAAGAAGGAGAGACAAAAGAGAGGGTTTTACTAGAGGACATGGTATTGGATCCGCGCATCGCAGAACGCATGAGGCGCTTCGCATTGGACGCCGAGGTTGAAGAGCGTGTAAAGGCCATTTCTGTACCAACAGGATCATCTTGGTTCAGTTCTCTTTGGCCAAAAGAGAAGCCCAAGGCCGCTTGGGAAGGATTGAGTGACGACTAAAGCACTCACAGATACCACCATCTCCCCTTCTATTATGTGTTTATAGCAGTGGGGACCTGTAAGAGTAGACATGTACCATGATAGCATCTAGCAGCGTGAATGATACCATATAAATTTCTTGCCGAGAAAAAGATCCCTTTCTTCTGGTCATATGGCATGTCCCCACGCCAACCTAGAGACCAGAGGTAGTAGAGCTTGGCATTGACCAGCTGCCCCGCCAATGGTCCGAAGGAAGCTTCGAGTCGAAATGCTATCGCGCCACACTCACAATCTACAACAACCTCCGTACGGTGTAAAACACGTGTCACAAAGTGTACTGCTAGAGTGAAATAGTACAAAACACTCTACAGCCAGTTCGCGACACGCTTTCAGACAGCACACATACAGCCATCATGGTAAACTGCCCGACTCTATGCAAGTAAACTTAGTTGACAACAATAGGCTTTCCAATCTAAGAAGCGCCTTGCGCTTGCGATCATCGACTTCCTCCAGACTTCACAGACTGATGGCTCAGTAGCGCCCGATGACGCGGAACAGCTCGAGGTTGCCGCCAACTGCATCAGCGAGGCGTTCAAGGTCGACCTCGACGACCAGGCTGCGAAGAAGGACGCAATTGGTGACCAGAACCTACTCGCAATCTATAATGTCTACGAGAAGCTCAAGGGAAAAACAACTGCGACCACCGAGGGCGGTTCATCTGCAAAGGAGGCTCGCCCAGCAACACCGCAGACGCCTGCTGCTGGCGCATCAGGACCTGGAGGGCCCAACAAGGATGAAGCTGAGAGGCTGAAGGGACTGGGTAACGAGGCGATGAAGAAGAAGGACTACGAATCTGCCGTTAAGCACTACACTGCTGCACTGGAAATCGTACCACTCAACCCCATCTACCTTTCCAACCGCGCCGCTGCGTACTCGGGTCAGGGCAAGCACGAGCTGGCCAAGGAGGACGCCGAGATGGCAGTCGCTGCCGATCCTAACTACTCCAAGGCATGGTCACGTCTTGGTCTCGCAAAGTTCGTGCTTGGTGACGCAAAGGGTGCTATGGAGGCGTACAAGTCCGGTATGGATGCTGAGGGTGGTGGCTCAGATGTCATGCGTAGGGGATACGAGACCGCCAAGAGAAAGGTGGAAGAAGAGGGTGGAGACGTAGGTGCTGCCGATGCGCCTCGAGGTGGTGCAGGTGGCGGTATGCCTGACCTCTCTTCGCTGGCTGGTATGCTCGGTGGTGGCGGAGGCGGAGGCGGTATGCCTGATCTCGCCGGTCTCATGCAGAACCCGATGATGAGGCAAATGGCTCAGAACCTGATGAGCAACCCGGATATGATGAACAATCTTATGAATAACCCAAGGATAGCGGAGATGGCTCAGCAATTCGGTGGCGGCGGTGGACGAGGAGGAGGTGCAGGCGGAAGTGGTGGCGGTGGTGGTGGCATGCCCAACATCTCCGATCTCATGAACGACCCAAGCATAGCTGAGATGTAAGTGGAGCGGCCTAAAGAGAAATGACAAAAGCTAACAACTTATTAGGGCCCGTAACTTTATGGGTGGAGGCGGAGGCGCCGGTGCCGGTGCTGGTCGCGGAGCAGGAGGCGCCCCCCAATAAGTCGTCGACTAGTGTAGTACAGGCGATAGCATGATTGCTACAAAGTGTATTTCACGAGCAAAAATAATGATACCATGTTCACTTGCTTTGGTGGTTTCCTGTCACTGACTGGAAGGCTTCTACTTATGTGACTCTTGTGACCTGGGCGTGTTCCTTAGGCGCGTTCGCAGGCACAGATCTTCAAGAGTTTCTGCGGCCAGCTGTTACGTCTATCCAGCTTCCCAGAAAATAAAATCATATCCGCAGCCCTGTGCTGCTCGATCCATGAATCCGTAAACTTGGTGCTCCTATCACTCCATCACTTGATATCCCACGCTTCCTCTCCCCTCAATCCAACTTCAATCCCCACAGCCCATCTCCCAGATAATGACCCGCCTCACACGCCTGTCCCTTCTTAACCTTCTTCATCTCCTCCGTCCCCATCTTCAGCACGCCAACCATACACGCCGTCTCCTTTCCCTCAGCCTCAATAACCACCACAGCACCCTCCTTCAGCTCCTCCGCCCCATATTTCTCCTTATCCTCGTCGCTCAAATCAGCACCGGGTAAGCGGCCACCCGGGGATGTGAGACCGGGCGCCATGAGCGTAGCGCCAGAGAGCACGAAGCGGATTGCGCCGCGGTCGATGCGCAGACGGTTGAATGCAAAAGGGTATTTGTGCACGAGGGTGAGGTGCGGGAGGAGTGCGTCGTCCATGTGCTGGAAGAAGAGGGGTGTCGAATTTAGGGTGTAGAGAGATACGCGGTCGGGTCTATAAGTAATTTGCAAATTTACTGTTAGGTTTTATCCATCTTTGTCGGAAAAAGGGCGTGGTGGTTGGTATTTGGGGAGGGGGAATACGTCTGCTGCAGATGGATATGTAGGACGTTACGAAGAAGACGTACAGCTTTACGAGATCCAATTGCTCTTTTTTGGGCAGTATGTCTTCGATGTAGGGTTCTAGCTTTGGGTATTCTTCGAGGACTTTGGAGCGGATGCCGCGTTGCGCGCTAGATTTTACTTTGGATTTCGCGCCAGGGGTTATGCTGCGGTTTTGTTAGCTTGGTTTTTCGTTTGTGCAAATTTGGGTTAGAGAATGAAGCTGACTCTTTCTTGAACATTTTGACGGTTGCAAGTTGGAGGTAGAGGTGAGTTACAGGGTGTGTGCTTGGTGTTGAGGCTTGCTTGCGGCTGCCCCGCGGTCGCACAGGTGCCCCTCACTGGAACGCGCTAGTGGGCTGCTGTTCAGGGCTCGCGTACCTGACCTTTACTTTTGATCAATGCATTCTTAGATATCGACGTATGGATACCTGATTTCGAATCTTGCGTGATTTATCGTTTAGCACCATGAGTTGTGTTAGGCTTACAATTATAACGTTAAGGCGTATACACATGGGTTGTTATTAATGTCGGGGCAATGTCAGGGCATTGCCCAGCAATTGTATAGATTAGCATTAGAATAGACTACCAAGAATTGGATTAACCTCCTCATGTACACTACCACAATTCGAGTACATAGCCACGATCAAGGTAGCCCCCTCCCGCTGTTGACAGCGTCTGCTAGTTGACTCGTCCCCGGTCTGTTTTCAGCGTATCTCTCGTAGCTATCCCGATAAAGCTCATCGGTGCTCGTAGTCATCCTTACACTCTTATCCGCTTCAATCGCATCGACCCACTGCTTCCACCTGCTCCCCGCCTCGGCCTCTGGCCATCCCCTGTACGGACCCAACACTCTTCGTAAACGGATGATCCAAGGTGCAATCTGCACGTCTACGAAAGAAATATGGGGACCAAGGAAAAAAGGCCCAGTAGGATCTGCTGCATCGACGAGCTTTCCGATTTGATTACGAAACTCGGTGGCATTTGAAACTTGATCGCTTTGGTCCTGAGCTTGAAGGAGCTTGTAGAAGCACGGAATAATGTTGCGGTTGATGTGGTCGGACCAGAGTCTTGATGTAGCACGGCTCTGAGCGTCAGGAGGTAAGAGAGGTGGACCCTTCTGAAGGTCTTCAAGGTACTCCATAATGACAGTAGACTCATGGGTTGACCATGTTGGGCCATGCCTTAGCGCAGGTACCAAACCACGTGGATTGACGTCAAGAAGACTCTGTGGCTTTTTGTAGGGATCAACTTCAATGTACTGATAGGGTATTTGCTTGTGCTCTAGTGATATCCAGACACGCTGCACGAAGGGACTTGGTCATGTTAGCACTGCCTGTATGACGTCATCTAGTTGTATGGCGTGCTTTCGGATTTGGATAGAAGACTTACCAAAATGCGCTGCCGTACAGCTTGAGATCATCTTCTTTCGAATGATTCTTCACTGTTGTCAAGGCATTGCCAGTGGCCTTTTTATGGTATGTCTTCTTGGAAGGATCTCCGCCCTGGTTGGTATCGGTCATCTTATGTCGTACAAATATGGTAGTGAATCGTAACTTGAATTGAGTTTCAAGGGAACAGGTAGATTGGTGAGAGAAGATCTGAAAAGATGAAAGACGACTCGTATGGAGTGATGGTGGTTGATGGGTAATAACACGAATAGGGTTGAAAACAAGAGGCATTAATGTTGTGTTGCAGTACCAGAGGATTGTTTGGTGAAGAAACTGGGCCAAAAATGCAAGTAGGGCAAAACCCGCGCATATGAGATGCTGGGGTGGAGGGTTTTTAGGCAAGCATCAATATGACGTATGCGCTCGATTCCCTGGCATGATAGGTCTTCGTTACACGCTATCATGACCAGGTCTTTCAACAGAGCGAGAAAGCAACATCTAACGCACAATGGAAATGAGGAGCTTACATGTGATTTCTTTTTATCTTCTTTGTCCGCTTTCATCTGCCATCTGATAACACTATTTTTCTTCACTCGATCACTTTCTTCAAGGGTATGTTTGTGTGGCCCCGCAACGCCATCGCCTTTGCCATTCCCACCATTCCCGTTCACCCTTTGAAAGGTGTAGAACTTTTGGGGTGGAAGACTAGGTGGCGGCATATACTGTTGTAGGTTCACCTCTGGTTGGCCGCTCATATTTGGAGGCATGTTCCAACCTCCAGCTGGCTGCTGTGGCAACAAAGGACCTTGACCGAAGAACTGAGGATTTGGATTCTGATTTTGGTCTACCACCTGACCCGGGTTCATTGGTGGTTGTGTTGGTATCGAACTTGGTCCGTCATTCTCGGTACCTGGAGGCCGGTGTCCAAGCTGTTCTTCATACTCTTGACGATCAAAAAACTCGGTGATTTTGATCTTCACATCGCACAAATCTCGCTCTCGTGCTATTCTCTTCCGCTTCTTCTTGTCTGGATCTGTGGACTTCTTGGTCCCTGGCGGACGCCCCTTTAGTCGGCAGTCCCAGTAATGGGATACAAAGCGCTTGCGTTTGTGTTTTTGCGTCGAGCGATGCGAGTAGATGTTGTCAATGTGTGGGAAATAGGTTTGGAACCTTGATTTGGATTAGGGCGCAATCATGCAAATAAGCATGGGAATTCTTACTGCTCCTCGGTCAACGTGATCATGTCATCCACGTGAAAAAGCTTATTCCTCCATTCTTCTAAATTTGGCGGGTTCGGAATGAGTTTGAGGCCTTGAAATTGACCATGGCTCGAGAATGGGGCGTCATCACTGTCATACTATCAGCAGCTGTTTAGCAGAACAACAGCATTCACGTCTAGACGAGTTGAAAGAGTCTGTGCAGCTTTTGTGTAGTGTATTGACAGCTGATATGCGTACAGAAACCTTCAACGCGATCTTGATTGTGGCGGGCGGTGTCAACATACCCGTCGCGCCCTTCCTGACGCTGCGTCTGCGTCTGCGTCTGCGTCTGTGTCTGTGTCTGTGTCTGTAGTTGCGGTTGCGGTTGCGGTTGTGGCTGCTGCTGGAGAGGTGCCTGTTCTACGTGCTGTGGCAACGGGTGGGTCGTTTGGAGTGCGGTCGGCACAGACGGCGAGAAGGGGAGCTGCTGAATTGGCTTTTGCGCTGCCTCGGGTGCAGCGATATGGTAGTGTTGCTGGGCATGTTCCTGGAGCGGGGGAGGGGGCGCATCCATGAAACGCGGGCTGGCGACATGTTGCTGGTAGCTTGCAGCCGGGAATGGTGGATAGGGTCCAGAGGGTGGCAGGCCACGCTGCTCAAAGTGGACGGGCAGGGCATGCGACGAAGGCTGTGGTTGAGGCGGGCCGGTCAGGGCGTATGATTGCTGGTATACTATGTCGGTGGTGTGTAGGGTCTGAAGCTCGGGCAGCCCCTGGTGGTGGGGGTACAGCGTACCATCGGTCGACTGGTGGAGCGTCTGAAGGGACTCAGGGTGCAATCGAAGCTGCTGCTGGAGGACGGGCGAAGAGGCTTGTTGCATGATGGCGCCGTTGTTGGACGCTGCTTTAGCCCAAGCCGTTTCCGTGAGAGAGGCTGCTTTCCCGATGGTCCCCGATAGCCGGTTTGCCGCCTGATATTGCTGAGTATGCGTATGTGTATGTAAGTATATATGTATGTATTCCAGCTCGAGGCACGCGCTTCACATGGAGAGTCCCTAGTCTATGTCGCGACACTATCTTGTTTACTTCTTTGTCTGATTCAGCTCTGTATGTGGCTTTTTGTCCAGCTGCACGCCTAGAACAGCATTCAGCCGCCTGACTGGGCAGCGCTTGAGCTTCAACGCTTTGGCAGCACCGCCAACTTTGGGTCATCTCGATACTCAAGCACACACTACAAACGTCTCTTCGCATATCCGCCCTTTTCCTCTCGTCTAAAAGATCAAACCCAGTCCCATCAAAGGAACCGCTAACCCGCAACGCCATGCCCATGCCGTGACGAAGAGAAGCATAATCATAAACACAACCAAACCCACCTCCATTTACTCTCCAGGCAGCAAATTGCTCTTGACAGCAAACATCTTGGACGTGACACCCGCCGTGAAGCCATCTACCTGCCTTGAGTACTGCTCCACCTGCCTCGAGTTGAGGAGCGTCTCTAGTCTGCTTGGCTCTTGGGGCAGCTTGAATAGCCTCTGCCACTCGTCTTCTGGGAGGAGTGACTGCTTAGAGGCAGTGCGCGCAGCATTCTCTGCTTTGCGCTTTTGTTGCCAGGCGGTAATCTTGGCCTGCTCACGAGCGAGAGATCGCTGGTAGTATTGGTAGTTGTTGATCTCAGTATGGTGATTCTCAATGCTTTCGAGGAGTAGATCGCACGTCTTCTCCAGGAACGGGTCGATTGAGAGGTCAAGCGAGTCGTAGTTGGGAAACAGAGGTGGCTGAGGGATGTTGGGATCTTGCTGCAGAGCAGCTAGGTTGGGTGGGAACTTGAGCTCCTCCTTTGGTGCGCTCGATGGCAGTTGGTGGAGAAGAGAGGTGAGGAGGTGTGAGTTGTGAATGGTAACTGGAAGCTCGACTAGGATGTCGTGGTAGCGAAGGCCGCTCTTTTGTAGACTGCACTTGTTAGCATTACTCTCCGGCTATGTGAATGTGCATGCATACCTCTCAGTCGTGAACTTGCCCTCCTTGTATGCCGTAACAAACGAGGGCGAGAGCCTATATGCGCGCAGATTCAGGGTACCTTGCGAGCTCCTGCTCACATCGTAGACCAAGGCAACAGTTCTCTCGTTTGGCTGGCTCTGGTAGAAGTATTGGTTCTCGATTGTGTTCAGGTTGACAAAGTTGCCCATGCTTGTGCTGGTATACCAGCCCACGTTGTTCGCATCCACATTGACTTCACGAAGAAACTTGATCATCTCGTTGCTGTAGGCAATGTTCTGCTTCGCGCGAGGGGCGGCTGCGGCAAGGTTTGCGGCGGTCTCATTCTGTCCATCGGCCTGTGCGGGAGAGACGTCGGGGAAAGGGAAAGAGTTTGTGATCTCCAAGACATTGTTCTTCTCCATACCGACTATGCTGCCAGTCGCAATCGAAGGGAACGACTTGCCGCTAGCAGTGGCAATCTTAATCGCAACCTGAAGGCCAAACGTCAGCCTCTCATTCTTGCAGCGCACTTGAGAAAAGCATCTTGATGGCACAATAGCGGGGCGCACAGTGGGGTGCTGTCTCTGCGCTTTTCCAACGTACCAAAGCATCGATCTGTACTGTCTTGAACAGCACATCCTTCTGAGTGTCCGCCATCGTGAAGTCGGAGGTATACGTCGTGGGAAGACTCGGCGAGAATGCTAACGTTGGGCGTCCGTCGTGTCAGGAAGCAGAATTCGGACTCAGTGACTCTGCCAAGATTCACGCTGCAACCTAAGCGAACACAGCGCTAGCTCTAAAATGGTCAAGCCCGTCCTTCCTCATCCCCTCTAGATACCCATGAAAGGGGACAGAGCATGGTTTAAGGCTCTGCTCGATAGTTTCTACAGAATCACGTGGTATATCTTCATGAAGATGTAAAAAGAGCTAATAACAGTTCAAGATTTAAGACAACAGCGCCCCCATAGATGCAATGGTATCCAACTGATGATTATGAGTGCAATGATTCCTCCCGTTTGTTCGTTACGCCCCAGTGTACTCCAGTACGACAAAAAAGCCTGACTTCAAATCATGTCCTGGTCCGAGCCGCCTTTTCCACCTTCTACATCTTCCGGAACTTCTAAACCTGTAGGTGATTTCTCTTCCTCGTCTCTAATCTCAACCACCTCCTTGGAAACACAAGGTGCGTTTACTTCAACAACATTCTTCCGTTTCTGATTGCTATACGGATTCCATCGGGGTACCACGGGCTGACGCTGTGACTTGCGATTGCTAGCTTTCGGGTTCCTTGCGATGGAACCATCATCCATGCGCATCCATTCTGTATCTTCATTATCGATGTGATCTGAAATATCTGCATCGTTCTCGTCTTCCCAAATCATGAGATTGGTCCCGTTAATCTCTATTGATCTGCCACCAGTGCGAGGAACGAAGAAAACATCATCGCCAGTCTTGCTGAAGTCCTGTTCCCAAGTCTCCTTTTGTTGGAGCTTGAGAATGTATTCCATTGGTAAAGCGTACAAGACATTGTCATCCTTGTCGTAGAGCTCTTTGAGCGGATAGTCCAGGCAAGCCAGTCCAAATTTACAGTCGATTCGGCTGGATAAAGGGTGTATGCGACCACCAAAGATTTTCAGTTCAAAGGAGATTCCACTTTCTGTCCACATGTTGTCGCCAAAGAAAACTTCTGGCTCAGAAAGTAGAGGGTGGTCGTGATGTGGCCCAGAAACCTCGCAGAAATGAGCTACTTCATGTGCCAGGCATGTAGCCAAAAACATGTTGTATCGCAATACCATGGCTGGCTCGCGATATCGTAGCAGGCTGAGCTTTTTTGCAGTGGTGTAAAAGTCTGAATGCAAGCAGATCCGGCTGGTATGACACTTGTGGTTGATTTTTCGCATCAAACCATTCTTATAGTCTTTTACTAACCCCATTGACGCGTATGCAGTCTCTGGCGGTAAAGGGTCGTGATGGAAGTAGAAGTGCAGCGTGTCGATTTGGTTATCCAGGAAGTTTTTGAATGTTGCTCCGCGCTCTTCAGACCATGTTACGTCTTCCTTGATACGAAAGCATGGCTGGCCATACATTGCTGAAGTTTCTTGACAGCGCTCCCGCTTCCCAAAAACGAGGGTATGCCAAAAGTGAGCTGTTGCCCGAGAGGTTACCAGCAACGTGGCAAGCTGTAAGGCTGGTTTCATCACCTCATAAATCCCATCCGGACAGCCATGCCAGTTTTCCAAACGAAAGATTGGGTGGATGTCATTGTCAAGCGTGCACACCGGTGGAGGTCCGTTCTCCCCAAAGGCCACGGCTTGCTTTTTGATCAAATCAACTGGATCAAACCCAAGCTTCACCGCTTTCTTCTTCGAGTTTTCCTTACGATGGCCTAGAAGCCTCCGGTACTTCTCCAACGCTTTCCGATCGGCTATCTGAGCAAGATGGTGGTTGATTGAAATGCTCAGCTGGAGGCCAAAGTCCTTGGGAACCTCGATTGTCGAAGGAGTAAAGGACAGCGATTTTTGATAACTCAAGACATCGGGTAGATCATTGACTAGCTTGTCGATGCATTCGTCCATGATCTTGCCCTCTTTCATTTTGTGAAGGAGCACCGCGTTTTCGCCCGTGTCTTCAGCCTGCAGATCGCCATCACCGCCACCAGGGAGAAGGTGTCGCAGTTTCTTCGACAAAGCTGGAGGCGGTCCACATTCCGGAGGTGGAGTGACTGACTCTGTGGGTGTCCAATCCATGCTATCCGGGTCTGGTCCCAGAAAAGCAGCTTTTGGTACATCATTCTGGGCTGTCGCTTCTTCCTCAGGCTCAAAATCTTGCCTCAATCGATCCTCAATGAGCTGGGTTGTATGGAGCATCGCTTCATAAGCTTTACGATACCTAAAAGGATCCATTCTGGCCGGCGTTAGTATCCTAGAAGGTTATGGTCGGATGAAGATCGAGCCAAGAACTGCGCAGATTTAAAGCCCAACCGAGTTGTATGCAAGAGATGTGAATGTAAATGGATGTGTAAAACGTCGGTTCGCTGAGTTTGAATGACCTCACGAAGCTGGGTTGTTTGTTTGAGATAGCACGTTCCGCGGTTGCTCCTGCAGGGAAGCGAAGATTCGCGCAGGCCGTGTATATTGTTTTCCACTTTGTCCTCGACTAGGCCAGCAAGGAGAAGTGAGACATCCAACTCCAGCCATCTCACCGAGTTTTGGTTTCAAAGCGACGGGTTGTATTGGTTGCTATGAGAAAGGGGGTTCGCGGGTGGAGGGCATGTCTTACTCAAGTCGACGAAACGATCAACATTCAAAACCAAGAAGCCAAGGCTGCAGAAATGCCAGCAGCGTGGTGGAGATGAAGAGTGGACAAGGGTCGGTGTGAGTTGTTTAGCGTAGGCAGTAGTAAATGCCAAGACCCGCTTTCTTGCTCGCCTGAAAGCGCGCGTCCCTTGTTGACCCATCAAACATTACATCAGCATTGCCGCCAACTGTCCTGAGAGACAAGAATTTCGTTAGTGAAGCATATTTGCCTATGTTTCCTTGGAAACTCATAGACATATATTTACCAGGACCTGAGCGTAATCCAAAAGCAGATTGTCTGGCTGCCTACTTTGCATTCCAGTGTACGTACTCAGCAGGTGTTTGGGCTCTCAAAAGCTTCTATCGACAGGCTAAACCTAATCTGTTACATTTCCAGTGGGGCGTTAATAGCCAAACAAACTTGGACTTGCTCACTTACACGCAGAGTTGTAACTATCATTTTGTAGCTTAAGTCTATCTTGGCTAGCATTAGGATGCACTTTTCAGAGTGACAGTATGGCGAGAGTATTTGCGCCAAAGTGTATCCACTGTGGAACACACGTAGATGCGCAACATGCAGCATCAACTGGTATTACGTCGGTCGCAGCCGGACAAGACCAACGATCCGGTAGATTTACCGTTATTTGTATATTCATTAGCTTTTTTATCGGTTCTACGAAAGGCCCCATATATTAGGTACATGATAGCTCGGCTGCATAACAACAAGTCCTTTTGAAATATCCTTGGAAATTTTGTTTATATTGGTACCAAAATATATTTGCTTGCAAACTAAGGGCATGTCTATCGAGAACAATGTGCACTAAAACTCGGGTAAACAGACCATTGTGGACACAGTACTATCTCTTTTTATCTAAGTCCTCAAATCGCCAGCAGAGCATGGGAGATAACTGACCAACGTGTTAGCTTGGCGAGGGACCGAGCATTCAGTAGTTATTGAAACGGGTAAAACTAGCTAACCTCAACGTAGGAAATCCAACTATGCAGATGCCTTCAAGAAGCATCTTCTGGTTTAGACTTCATATTCCTTCTGGCGTGCACTTGACCATTGGAAACACAGACTAACCTCTTCAGATATTAGCGCGACCCCCACAAATCGGTATCTGCAGACGCCGATCTCCAACTTTTTTCGAGCTCAGCACTTTTGCGACAACGCGATCGCAAACCACATTACACAACCTATACCCTTTTTCATTCTCCAGTTATGGCGCCTGTACCGAGCGAGGATGTATCTTTGTTTCACACTGAGCGTATCTCGCAATACGTCTCTATCCCGCCTTCATGCCTTTCGGATCCCTTCTCAGCAGTATGCGCGACTGTATTATCACCATTGCTCCTCACCTACTTCCCGCCCGCAAATGGTGTAGTGCTCGCATATGAGGATGTTGAATTGAGCAGCACGCCTCCGACCGCATCTGCCACCAAGTCGCATTCGAAACGTGCGCAGAACGACTCGGAACGCAACAATGATTCTCACGCCGAGCCTTTGCTTTTAAAACACGTCGATGAATACGCTGCACCCTTCCTCTGGGCAACTGCCTCGTTCCTCGTATGGCGTCCGGTTCAGAATGCATACCTACAGGCCCATATTACCGATCATGCGAAAACGCATATCACACTCGCACATCTCAACACTTTCCCCGTCAGCATCCTCAAGGAAAACATGCCTGCAGACTGGTCATGGCACCAGAACGAATCAGGCAAAGTGAAGAAAGGCTGGGACGACAAACTGTCAGATGAAGGCGGCTGGTGGGTGAACGGCAAGGGGAAGAAGGTGGAGGGTGAACTGCGGGTCAGGATACGCAACATTGATGGCAGAATGGATGGTAAAGGAAAGGGAAAGGGTTTCCTGCGTGTTGATGGTTCTCTACTTTCTCAAGAGGAGGAGAAGGCGGCAAAGGCGGCACAGAAGGCGGGAAGAGGAAACAAGAAGACTACAACAGACGCAGCGAGGACACAGCAGCGGAGAGATCAGACCAACGGAGATGTCATAGCGGTTGATTCAGAGTCTGATTGAGGCGCCCTGGGCAGTATTGGGCGGCGCATTGGCGTGGTTGCATGGCTTGTGGGTTCCGAGACCACAATTGCATTAAGACGGAGTTATGGCGTTGAAAACAGCAAGATGCATTTCTCAGCATCTATGATACCACCAAATACAAATATTCTAGAACTGGAATGCCTTTTTTTCTCGATATTCATGTGCACAGACCAATCAGACAACACATACCTCCGAGGCTCCGCAAACCGCGGCTTCAGCCTTGACCCTCACATCCCACCTTGACCACCAGATCACTCTCTTACCAACCATTGCCATGTCGTCCTCCAAGAAATCGTCATCCTCATCCTCGCGCAAGTCGCGATCGCAGCCCGAAGCGGTTTACGGTCCACCGTACTCTTCATATGGAACGACCTATAGCTCCACGTCGCCATTCTGGACAATTGGCACACTATTCGGTGCTTCGAGCGTCGCGCTCGGTGCTTTTGGGGCTCATGCGTTGAAGCAGCGCATCTCTGATCCAGCCAAGATTGCCAGTTGGGGTAATGCCGCTCACTATCAGGTATACATTTTACTATCTTGGCTGTCACGACCTCTACAGTCTCTTCCGCTTCGCCACTTGAGTCCTTGTTGAGCCCCAGAACCCCGCTAATGCACAATGCAAACAGCTCATGCACTCAGTTGTTCTGACACTTACCGCTGCCGTTGCGCCGGCGAACAAACTCGCCATGAGTCTCTTCACGGCGGGCATGGCCATGTTTTCGGGTAGCATATATCTGCTCGTTTGGGATGCGAAGAAATACAAGTCGGTAGGACCCGTTACACCAATTGGCGGGCTGTGCCTCATTGGAGGTTGGATTATGCTGGCGGCAAGGAGCAAATTGGTTCTATCCAGGGCCAGGTAGAACATGACTACCGGGAAGAGTCTAGAGTATGACTACAATAAGCTTTGGCACAGTATGTCAAGAAGCGCTGGCAGCTATAGACACGAACATTGCTTCGCTCAGATTTACAATGAAGAACATGAACAAAACGATAGAGATGAGATGGAATTTGGCATTCTCTTCATGATTCTAGTCTGACAACATGTCACTACCCTCTAGGAATTGTCAGCTTTGTATCAAGGGAATCCTTGTACCGGCACGGTGCTTGACCACGCTCCACTCGACAGCACGTGTCTCTTGTCCGGCCTCGCTTTAGGGTCCAAAATGTCCTTACAGTGTGCTAATGTCATCTAGGCCTTTGTTAAGCGTACGGCAGGCCAATCACGGGATATGTCATTACTTGCTTGTATTCCTACGTGCGATGACTTGGTTTAGCGCAACCCTCGTCGCCGGACTGACTCGCTGAAGCTCACTTGCCATTCGTTGCGAGCAAACTCCTTTGCGCCAAGCCATATCAACTCTTCGGCCATAGTGTCTATTTTGAGCCCCGTAGTTCCGTGTAGCTTCCCAATCCCGGGCAATGTCCGCCAGAATAAGGCGTGCAGCAGACAAAGTGACCTCCACCCCACTTGAACACGCAGGTTTTATCGCAGAGCCACTTCAAACCCTGCACGAATTGCTAGTCGCGCTAATTCAGTCTACCAAGGACACTACGTCCGTAAAATGTATTTCAAAGACAAAAGGACAACTCTCTGCTCACTGCATCCTGCAACATGGGCTCGTCGGATGGTCAAGCACCGCCAGGAATGCTGTACCTTGCAGCATTCTATGGCTCAGTACTCTTAGGACTATGGCTCCTGTTGAAAACCCTACAGGCTTTGTACAACATTTCGCCATTGCATCCGCTGAGCCACATTCCGGGTCCAAGACTGGCTGCAGCAACATACCTTCCGGAGTTCTACTATGATGTTATCAAGTTCGGTTGCTACACGAAAGAGATTGCTCGAATGCACAAGGTATATGGTAAGGATGCAATGAATCGCTGCATGCGAGAGTAAAGACTGACTATAGGCTTGTGTACAAGGCCCCCTCGTCCGCATCAACCCGAACGAAATTCATTGCGACGATGTCAGCTTCGCCGATGAGATTTATGCCGTAGGTGGACGAAAGCGTGACAAGCCAGTTCACCAAATCAACGGCTCTGCGTAAGCTGGTTCTGAATTCATGGAAAATGATTAGCTCAGCTTACAATCTTTCAGTATTGGTGAAGCAGGATTCGGCACTATTGACCATGACCTCCACCGACTTCGCCGTATCCCAGTGGCCAAGTTCTTCTCACGGTCGATGATTGCACGCCTCGAGCCTGAGCTTCACGCATTGGTCCAAAAGTTGTGCAATAAGCTTCTTGCACAATCAGGAGATGACGAAGTACTCGATATTACCATGGCATACAGTTGTTTCACCACAGACGCCATCTCGTCCTACAGCTTTGGCGAAGGTTTTGGTCTCCTCAATCAAAAGGGATGGTATCCAAATTTCCGCGCGCCAACTGCATCTGTCCTTCGACCAGTATTCGTCTTCCGCTTCTTCCCATGGACCAAAAAGAGTGCCGTACTTGCGACTACCTTCATTGACTACCTTCCTAGCGATATTGCTCTCATGGTCAAAACGCTACAGATTGATATGCCTTGGAAGGTTCGCAAGGCACAAGAAGACCTGGACGCTGGCATCACTTATGAGCGACCGACTGTCTTCGCCTCCCTCTTGCAATCAGACACACACGAAGAAAAGAATCGGTTCCGCTGGATCGCTGACGAGGCAGAAGCCATTGTGGGTGCTGGAACAGAGACTACAAGTTGGGCTCTGGGTGTAATAACCTACCATCTTTTGAGCAAGCCAGAAATTCTAGCAAAATTGACAGAAGAACTGAAAACTGTCGTTGATGACGCAACAAACTTGCCCTCGTGGACTGTTCTTGAGACTCTGCCATATCTAGGCGCGGTTATCCAGGAGGGACTCCGACTTTCATACGGTGTATCTAGCCGCACTGCTCGCGTACCAACGGAGGAAAACCTACTTTACCGCGGCGAATGGAACAAGAAGAAGGTCCAATACGTTCTTCCCAAAGGTTACGCTATCGGCATGTCATCATTCATCACACACCACAACGAACGCACCTTCCCGAACTCCTTTGAATTTTCCCCCGAGCGCTGGCTAGACGAGAAGAACCAGCGAAGGAAAGAGGTTGAGCGCAGCATGTTATCTTTCTCCAGAGGTAGCCGTGCCTGCGTAGGCATGAAGTAAGTATACTCCTGTTTTTTTTTCTAAATGAACTTTGGGAATATTGTTGCTAACATAATGGCTAGTCTTGCTCTTTGTGAACTTCACCTGAGTCTGACGGCGTTGGTTCTGCGTGTGCTGCCACATATGCGCCTGTGGGATACGACCGAGGAAGATGTTCTTTACGACCACGATATGTTTATTCCTATGACCAAGCATAATAGGGGTATTCGGGTGAAGATTGACTAGTTACTCAGCTTAGCGTATCTAGCCAATAGTATGTGTATAACAATGAATGCCACCGAGGCGGTTTAGCCATATTTTGAGGCGTTTCCTTTATTTGCGCTCAAATAAATCTTTATGTTGAGTTTCTCATTTCAAAGATCTTTGTTTCGCGTTTTGTTCTCTTGTGGTGATAATAAATGGCTATTCTAGGCTTGGCCGGACGAATCAGCTCGACACCTCCAAGATACTTGCATAAATACCATGGTGTTTGAAACCAGTGATGGCATATAGCCGTTGGAAAAAACTTTTCAAAGAACCTACAATAGATCCGGGTGGTTTACTTTCTTATTCATCCACGTACACGGTAGCTTTGGCAAAAATATCCTTACTAGTGCACGTTGAACGGGGTCTCATCATCAATACATCAACAAACTATTTCATTATGCTAAAGGATCTTGAAATCCTATATTTCACCTCATCCGATGTTGATTTCCAACGCTAACTAGCTTGGGTCTGGATAGAGGTTAAGGAGGTAATACCGGTCCGACTAGAGAGAGTTTCCCCCTTGTAGTGATGGCGGAGGAGAAGAAGAAGAAGAAGACGTGATTGGGATTGAAGATGTTCTTCTGAAAGTACATGGAAAGTCTGCTGGATCTGCTTCTTGTGTACAATTTACTATTCCCACAACACGTGTGATACAAACATGTATTTCTGAGTCCGTGGCTTTCGCTGGCTAATATACACAACGAGGCAGTTTTTTTTCTTTTTCTTTTTGATAAAGCTGCAGCTCTCATGTTTAAACATGGTGGCTTAGGTATTACCTTTACTGTGAATTTAGGGAGCAAGGGCTGATATAGAGAAATATACAGGATGTAAGGGGACACTACGAAAGGAACTGCATGAGCTGAGGGCTGGGTGCGCGATATTAGTGCATGTTGTTTATTTCAGTTAACATGGTTTTGAATCCCGAGGGTTTGGGTGCGTGTGGCTATGCTGAAGAAATTAATGGTAGGAAGTTAAATAGATAGGTGCGAAAGTTGTATGCTGGTGCAAAGACGAAGCTTAGGTCTACATTATGTTGGCATACTATACACGATATGTCACTTAGAGGTAGAGCAGGGATATGTGTCTGTTTCGAACGAGGCGTTGATGAGATGATACCTGTTGGAACTGGTTGACTCGTGCACATGTTCCTCTGAATGTATTAGCGCAGCAACTTTCATCGTATTCGCGCAGTATCTCACACTTGAACTTTATAACCTTATTTCCCAGAGACAGAGAACAAGAGAAAACGTAGCCGGGTGTCTCCTGCCCCCCCCCATCCAAATACGTTTTGACACGACTCTTCTGCCTTCCTCTTTATCAACCAGTGTCTCGGTTTCCGCGACGCATGCAGAAACACGAACGTACCAATAAAAGGCGTACGCTCATTCACTTTGCTTGTTCAACTATAAGCCACAATGATTATCTGCTTTCGACGCTTTTCCGGAAACTTCCTCTTGCGGTATGCGCAGATACCGCACTCTGGCGCCGTGACGTTCCTCGTACCGATGATATGGGTCACCAAAAGTAACGTCAGTGCACTGGCACACAAACAAAACACAGTTCCCATTGAACCCACACATAACAGACCTATGAAAGAGAGTCTTGGCTGTCTTCGTGACTGAACCTTTGGGTCGGGTCGGACAAGCAATGTTAGATGTGCACCGTGGCATCTTGATAGATGAGTTATAATGCATCAGTCTCTCCAAGTTAATCCAAGCGGCCATGACTCGATATGGTTGTACTAGTGCACGATTTATTCTCCTTTCCGCTGTCTACTATCGACGGATCTGCTGGATTTCCCGTTCTGGTATTTGAAACATGTTTACGAGGAAGGGTGGGGGGGTCCCTCAATATGCGGAGTTTGAACCGCAACTTGGATATGGACAGGTCAGGTTTTGGATGCGCAGCTAGCCTCAAGCCACAGTATAAAAGGGGATATTAATTTCTCCTTTTCAGGTTTGCAAATGGGTTTATAAGCTGTTGCTCGGATCCATGTCTGTGAATGTCTGTGGCTGCTAGCAGAACATGGATATTTGCTCCGCGGCCATCTTGTACCAACGCGCTTTCTTGCTCTCTCACAGACACACCCCATGTTTTCTTTTGCTATCTCGGGCCTCGTAGTGCTCTCGCTACCACTCGGCCGAGGCCTCGATGCAACCTTTGCAGTCTTAGGTCCCATTCTTTCGCGTATCCAGCTGTCTGGTTGGCAGACGGCTGCCGGGTAGCGCGATGCGCAGATATCGACGCTTTTGCTGTTTCTGTTCCTCTTCTGGCAGTAACAGGCATAAAGGCGCATGCCAACAAAGACTCGAGACACGAAAGCGGAATGGTGTACCAAGGCTAGGGATCTGACAGCCGTTTGCCGTAATCGATGGTTTATAGCCGTAGACTTCCTTTCTGGGTATGTTGGCTGATTACCGGCTGTTGTTGCAACTGAGGTGTTCCAGACAAGTCACGTCCAGAACAGCGGCACAATCACATGTTTTTTTTGAATGGAGGTCATGTAATACCACTGAGGACTGGAGAGAAGTACGTCATAGAGCAAGCAGGTCGTATCTGATATAGATATGCATACGTACACAGATGCACGAGTAAAGGGAATACGAGAGAGGCGTGGAAGACGTCACATGTGGGCGAACACTAGAGTTCCCCCAAGTACACAGCCACCGAATATCCAGGCGCATTAAGCGTGGCGCAAACACCAATGCATCTGCACCGACTATCCCATTGCCCAGACGCATCTGATCTGATGTAGTAGACAGAACCGTCTTTGGGCCATGGCGAACCGGAAATGCGCGTCTCATAGAGCGACCCACTTGCGGGCTGGTCGGCCTTGTCTTGCCGCGGGCCTCAACCTAGTGCAACAATGACGTACTTGGTCGCGGATGCTGGCGCAGATCCCGCCAGGCACATTACATCTTCACAACCCGCGTCAACCCTCCTTCTTCCTTATAACAACTGAAATATTCCAAGATTCCTCCCCAGATCCTTACAGTAACCCAGCACAAATTACCAGACTTGATTGTGTTCATAAAACCTCAGTCATCATGGATGTACGTACCGCTATAAGCTACAGCATGGGCTTAACGAAGACTCCACCAGACGAGCAAAAGCTGACGAGGATGAACAGGTCTACTACTTCTACTCCTACGGCACCGCTGCATGGCTCAGTATGTTCTCAATCGTGTCTTTTCAGGCGACGACAAGTTTGCTAACGTGAAAAATAGTGACGCAATCCGTGCCTCTCATTACCTCCCCCACAATGATCGTAGCATTGCTGTCACCAGAGGTTCGCGAAGCGACGAGTATGTGATCTCTTAGTTCGCTTTATATTTCAGAAAAAGTACATTCACTAATAACACGAAATAGCTCTGGAAGTCTACTTCAGCCGTTCGCTCGGCCTCACGCTGATAGCGTTGGGAATTCTTACGGTGCTCCTCACAGGCTCTGTGCCGTTATCAAGTCGTCTCTCAGAAGGTACGTCCCTCTCCAGGCCTCATATGTGATTACTGTATGAACCTCATCTAACTTGCTACAGGCGCAACAACCCAAGCCGAGGATCCAAAAGCACCATACGCACTGCCAACCCTTACCATAACCGCCATGTTCCACGCCGCTTATGCCTTTTATGGATACGCCATGTGGACCAAGACTGGAGTCATGTCTTTTAGCCTGGGTACACTTGGTTCTGGTTTCCTGGCCACGATCGCGCTGTGGTGCATCTTGTTCGCTAGTAGCAACGGCAGGATCAGCAGGAAGACTGGTGCGGATAAGAGGACGAGTGGGTTCCCATTCAAGAATGCTGAGGCAGACAAGAGGAAGGCTAGGTAAATGCTTAGCACTAAACGGCCTATGAAAAGTCTCTGGAGCGGATGGTGGGCGCGAATGACGCGCTTGCAACGCTTGCGTAACCATGAACATGCAAGTGGCGCCTCGTCAGCATGGAGCTGGAAATGCACATGCAGAAACTAGCACCCCACACACATTGTAAAGTCGCGTTCGGAAAGAAGCGACATTGTATATTAGTTTGAAAGCATGGAATTGATTGGTATCTTTTGAATCTAACACATCACCCCGACCGTATGCACCCTGTGCCCATCCCATAATGTTACACTGGACTTGTCCAAAAACAAGAAAACTAATAGTAAGGAGAAAAATAAGAGACGTTGGAGGACCTGTTCCTCTGTTTACATTTAGTCGCTAGTAAGCCCGCAAAGTGCAGGCAGGGCATGCTCCACCAGGTCAATTATATCCAAGCACACTAAGCCGCTGGAACCGGTGGCTGGAGACCTTGTTGCGCAACATCCGCTGGCTTGGGAGGTTGCTGCTGCTGCTGCTCCTCCTTCTTGGCTTCAGGCCTATGAGTCTGAGCACCCTCCTGGCGCCACCAGGGAAGTTTTCCATCTTTGGGAGCGATAGGCAGAGCCCTTGAGGGAGCAACATCTTTCTCGACAGCCTGCCAGCCCTCCATATCTTCTGGTATGCCTTCTTCAGCCCGTCTCCGTCGTTCTGTCGCTGCTTGTGCCTCCATGAAGTTCTCGAGCAAAAGCTCCTTGGCCTGCCACTCCTCGCGGCGCACTCGCTCCAGCTCCTCGGCTTCAGCACGCAGCTGCTCACCCTCCTTTGTTGCCCACTGCAGTTGTCTACGCAGCAGCTGGAATAGCTCGTTTGCTGGCTTGCGTAGCTCTTCGGGTGTGAATTCAATGTCTGGCGGGAACTGCACTAGTGTTGGACCAGATGGGCTAGCGAGGTCTTGTAGATAGACGACATTGTTGTGGGAATAATCGGTTTCGGATGTGGTTGCAGCAGCAGCCGCTGCTGTTGCGCTGTTAGGTGGATGCGATGGGGATCCGGGGGTCGAGGCCTTATCGTGTGGTAGCTTCTTGCCTTCGTTGTTGAGGACGAGCTTCAGGCGCTGCTTGTTGTTGGTCGGGTTAGACGAGTGATGCTTAGGCACGGGGTCAGAGGGTCGCAGGGCTTCGGTCTCGTGCACAGTGCGCATGTGTTTGGCCAACGCATCGGAGCGGGTGAAGGAGCGGTCGCATTCTGAGAGTGTATTTTAGCACGTGTCTCGAGATTCGGGGCAGAATATGGAGGGTTGTACCTGGAAGCGTGCAGTAGAATGGCTTCTCGCGCGTGTGGGAGCGCATGTGTGCCCGCAGTGCGTAGCCACTAGCATGGGGGATGCCCTTTCGAGTGCAATCGCTCCACTCGCAGCTGTACTTCTTTTGCCGAGTTCCAATGTGATCGTCATGAAGATGCTCGACCAGCTTGTCCATGTTGTGAAGATCACCGGCTGTGCATCCGTCCCACTTGCAGATGGTGACTTGCTCCTGGCCGTAGTCGTCGTCTTGCGACATGCCCGGGTGGTGATGGGGCGAGGCTGGCACCGAGCCATCAGTGTCTTCGGACAGTTCTTCGTCTAGATCTGGCGGCATCGTATTGATGGGAGCTGGCGGCGACGAGGGCGCGCGAACGTTCAGGCGTGGTCGCTTGTTGGGGCGCTGGTCATGGTCAGGCGTGGCTTCATAGCTGCGTGGACGGCTTCCTTTTACATCCTCGGGGAAATCATCGCTCCCATATTCTGATAGGTCTGAGGGTGATTCTGTCATGACGGCGAGGTCAACTTATTGGTGGTGACGGTCAAAGGCGACGGTGAAGGTGAAGGTGAGAGTGAATGTCGACTGCGCGTTGGCCCAAGGGAGCGTGTTGCGCCTCCCGGCGCGCTCGACGTCTAGCGCATGTGCAGGGGCCAGGCGTTGAGCGAACGGCGCACTTTTCTGCGCAACCAATCTTGCACACTTCCAACTCTCCGCCTCGCAACACCAACAACATGTCAGACAAGCTCTTGTCGCTTCGCAGAGAAACGCCTGTTTTCGCCATTCTCTCTTGGTAACGGGTGCTGGGCTACAGTCGCGCCTCATACTATATGTAAGTATACTTGACTCTCCTTCACCCTATCTTCCATGATGATTTATCCCAGAGTTCTGCAATTCCAAAGAGCTGTCTCACAGTAGCTCAAATGCGGATTAGCTCATACACTACACATATACCTGACTTCATTTTTACATGAATCAAAGCTTGTTATACATTATAGTTACAGTACTGACAAGTCGCTCTAACTAGGTAACCAATTATCTATGCGAACAGCAGTGCAGCCTGAGCCTCATTGTACCGTCCACCAATGACTGGGATCTTCTTTAGAATCTCGTCCAGTGCCTTCATATCCTCATCGTTGAGCTTCGCCGGCTTCAAGTTCTCCTCGATTCTCTGCGATGTCGTAGCACCCGGAATCGGGATGATAGTAGGCAGGCCTTTGGCTCCGCTGTGCGCGAGCACCCACCCAATGGCAATTTGAGCTGGGGTAGCACCATTTGATTTGGCTAGATCTTCGACAGCGTGGAGGAGCTTAATGTTCTCATCGAACACCTCAGGCTGGAACCTAGGCATGTGGTGCAACATGGAGCCAGGCTCAATGTCGCTGTGCTTCTTGTACTTGCCCGTCTGAGAACTGATTAGCATCTAGCTTCCACAGCTGAGAGCGGTGTACTTACAAGGAATCCGCGTCCAAGAGGCGAGTATGCAATGATAGGAATGCCGAGCTCTGCGCATGTGGCCGCGACACCGTTTTCAAGAATGTCGGTAGACCACAACGAGAACTCAACCTCAACCGCAGAGATGGGGTGCACACTGTGCGCTTTTCGGATTGACTGCGCACCAACTTCTGACAGACTGATGCCGCCCAGCTTGCCCTCCTTGACATACTCGGCGATGTAACTGACGGTATCTTGGATTGGTGTGTTGGGATCCACCCTAGCACACTCAAACAAATCAAGACTCTTCTTGCCATCCAATACCCTCAAACACTCATCAATGCTGCGTCTAACATTCTCCCGACTGCCATCTGGCGTCAATTCGCCCTTCTTGAGACCGCCCTTGATGGACAAAACAACCTTTTCCGCGTCCTCGGGGTACTTTGTGAAATACTCATTGAGAAGGTGCAGAGAGTTACGTTCTGGTGTACCGTAAAGCTCTCCGCCATTCCAATTGTTTGCTCCAAGCGACAGCGCGGTGCGCATAGCTTCAAAGCTCTGCTCTTGCGATGGTGGATCTGGGCGCCATGTGAGACCTGAATTGTTAGTTTTCTCCTAGCTTTTGCAAAATAGATAAATCATAGCACATACCCATGAGCCCATAGCCAACTGGCCCTACCATCTTTCCCACAAGTTGAGGCATATCGAAGTTTGTAGATGATGTCGTGAGAGGGTCTTGAACAAAAATGAGGCGGGGTAAATAGAGACTGGTCAATGATATCACCGTAATCGAACCGTTGCTCGCTAGTGTCTCTATGAGGGCCTGTCGATGTGCTTCTTCTATCCCAGACCGATACCCAGCCCTATTTATATTCTCATTGAAGCCTTTCTCGGACCCGAAGATACTTGCTTAAGGACCGCCACCAATGACGCTTATTGGGAGTACATTGGCCCCGAACGGGGTTTTCAGAGTGCTTAACTCCGCGAAGCCAATCGCCGCGGAAAGTGGCGCAACAACATGGGCCAGTGGCATTAGGCGTATGTCCGGTTTGCTGCATGTGGATTATTGTATTGTGAGTAAAGAGCTAGAATGTGGGATATCGTGACGCTTGTGGCGGGAGTGTCGGATTACTAAACGGCATGTTGTTTGTACAGGAGGATGTACTACCACAAGTAACTACTTTGAAAATCCGAATCAATGATATTCTGTGGATGCGGAATGAGGTAGGTTATGCGCACGGTAAGCATTCGTTAGCGCAATGGATTTACCCACGGAATTCCGTTCTATCTCTATTGTTCTACGTCAAGCTAGAAATGAAAACACCCAGCCCTCTCCGGATTTACCCTACTCCTTCGACTTCATCCTAACACCTATCTCTATACTGGCACAAAAGGCCACTTGCTTACATAACCTTCTTCCCTTCAACACCCTTCCTTTCAATCGCATCTATTTCCCTCAACACAGTCCTAACCGGCCAGACAAACCCCTCCTGCGCATGCCCTGTCTTCCCCTCTTCAATTGTGACCAGATACTCCGTAAGTGCCATACCCACATATGCCGCAATCGCTGTAAAAATATGCCACCAGCCATGCAATTCAAACAAAAAGCCCCACGGAAGTCCAATCCAATGCTTAAACTGCGTAACATACCCGCAAGCATGAAAATCAATGTTCCAAAGAAAATACCCAAACAGCCCAGTCGAGATACCAAATGTAGCCATGCTCCCCAGCTTCTTGCGTGCCTCTTCGTTAGTAATCTGCTTCTTGATGAGCGCGCGTGTATGCCTCGATACAAGGAAGATCATGGCTGCAAAAGCGATTTCGTGCATAATAATCTCGTCGGCCCACACGTGGTAAATGGAGATGGGGATCAGGCTGCCTAGGATATATAACGTGTACTTTTGGCGCTGGGCGCGTGTGGCGTCGAAACACAGCAATTGGTGTAGTACGGCACCCACAGCGAGGAACATGGACAAATCGTCGCCCATTTGCGAGTGGTACTTTAGGGTGGCGTGGAACCAGGCGGAGAGGACGCCCACGCCGATGAGTCCCCAGTAAGGGAAAGCGAGCGTCGAGATGAGGCCGCCTTCGGGTTTGGGAGATACACGGCGTAGACCGTGGATTCCGTAAATTACTATTTTTTCCAAAATGTGAGCTTTCCCTTTTTGCTATGGTGGACTGCAAGTGGTTAATGTGCACGGACCATAGCTGATGTTTGTGAGGGTGTTGACGAATTCGCCAATATATGGAGTGATGATGTAGTCCTTGTCATCATGAGTTATCATTCCCGGCTAATCATTACGGGGAAGACATGATATACCTCTTCACAAAAACTATGTTAAGTCAGCCAAGCCCGAGCTGCCATGCAGGTACCGTAACAAGACTCACTTGTGATTTGACGTGGTTGGACCCCAGGCTCCTACAGCGGGCTCCAACGGGTAGTCCCATCGCAATTGCATGATGAAATTTTTCCTGGTTTGGGTGTAGGTGGCAGAAAGGGAGTCTTTGATGCTGTCTGGCTGTGAGGTTATGCAGTGGTTTTACAACGTGGAGCTCATGGCCGCAAGCTATGACCAGTCCAATAGCGGGATACCACGGAGCACATGGGAACAAGTCAGAAGGCGCAACGGCGCGTATCCTCGCTGCCTAGCTTGAGCAAAGAAAATGATTTTGAATTCAAAGTGTGATTAACATGTATCAATTGTTAGTTTTGGGCATCTCTGGTGCTATCTAGAAGTCTACTTCCTATGAAGCAAAACAAGGTATACAGTAACACTCAGCTCGGTCTAGCAAAAGAAACAGAGCGGCAATGCCGAATGCAAAAACATTGCACCTTTTGTCACACAGAAGGGCAAAAAAGGGGTCTTACCGCGACTCGAACGCGGGGCCTCTCGCAAGCAATGCTCGGGAAATCCCTAAGCGAGAATCATACCACTAGACTTTGGGCTTGTTAGAACTGAAGGAGATGCTGAAGTGTGTTGTGAATGCTTACCCATAAGACCGTTGCTTTGATGGAAGGAACAAGGAAATAATCAATTATATCCCGAATAAAATTGGGTGCACGACGGAGCTTGTGAAGGGGAAGCACTTGAAAACCCCCTGTGGGACCTCGTACCCAAGCTAGAAAGTGGGGCTGGCATTTGATAGAGTTTAGTGAGCGGGGCTTGTTGGCTGAAGTCACGATTCTTTGGTAGGCTAGACGGTGGGGCAGACTGAACACTGACGAGTCATCTAGTCCTGTAAATCAAGGTTGTGCTATACTTGAGGTCTTAAGTTTAGATGAACCATCAAAGAAGTGGAAGAAGGTTAAACATTCATCATGAGAAGCAAAACACATATGTTGCTCCAATGGCAGACATTGAGCGGACGTGTTACTGATATGCAAAGTCTTGGACGTCATTTTGCTCTGCAAATATCCAATTCACCACCCGAATGAGTTGATATCTTGCACCTTCTGCCCCATGTGGATGGCAATCATGTGTCTCAAAAGAGAGTCGAGCAAATCGATGAAGTCTTATGCAACGGCCCCACTGTAATACTGGTAAACCAAGAGCACATGAGACATATAATCTCTAATTGCTGTATCTCTTCTTCGATTTCATATCACATGACCCATATTTAAGTGTGGTAGTGATACTCTTGCTCTCGATGCTGAAGATCTGAATGAAGTTCTTCAGTCTATAGAAGTGTCGATCTTAAATAAGTAGCATATCTTTTCTTAATATCTTGCAGTATCGGTCCACTTTTAGTCTTGGAGCAAAGGATTTTGTAGACGTCTGTTGATCGTAGCATACATAGGAACAGGCTAAGATCAGCTTCGATGACCAGGAAATACAGCATGAATGTTTCTGTCAGTCCCAAAATCCACACATAACAGTGCTGAAGCTCAAAGCTCGGATTGCACGTATTCTTGAGAAAATGAGTAAGCTCATAAAATGGCCTAACACAACATAGTCTCATGCGTCACCCAACACGAAGGACAAGGAGCATTTACCTCGTTTGGCAAAGTCAACGTGCACGAACAATTGCTCTACGATATGCCGCGGTAATAATGTCCCCAGATGCCAAGAAACCACGCCCTGACACACTCGATGCATGCCGAGTTTGCTATGGCCTGCTATGACGATATTGCGCAGGCGGGCCTGAGCTTTGGAAGACCAGATGTGGATGCAACATTGCTCTTGAAACATCTCACCAGCCCCAATACACCGCCGTCTTGTAGAAATTTGCTCATTATTAACCGGTGCGCTTTTTGTTGCCCACAAAAATGCAAATGCGATTCAGCGAGGGCGAATATCAGGCGGTAGGGGCGGAGATTGCCAAGCAAATGGATGATCACGATTCCACTCTTGGGGTTGTGTGCATCGGACTCCCAGCAGCTTCTGTAACGCACATCCCCACCCGATTACTCGACAAATGACGGATATAATAACGCATATGGCAAGACACCCACGATTCACAGTCACATGTTGCGTTACCCCGAGGAAGGCAACATGAGGTTGCAACGTGCGATCGAATCATGTCGACTCCAAGAAAAAAAGACAGGCAGCCGAAATAAAGACGGCGCCACTTACGCACCCACATGCACGACGCGGTTGAGGCGATCTCCGCAAAATGCAAGGCGCCATCCCCGTTCTCCACCTCCAGCCAACCCCGAGTCCCCAAGGCAGTTTTCCCGCCAATCAACGCCAATCGGAGGGGGGCTTGCCTTGTTTCTTCGATTACTCTCCGATGCGCAACACAACGGCCACGCTTGGTCGGCACGTTCCCGCTATGCTTACGTAGAAACTATGGCATTTTAACCAATTTAACCAGCTCACAAGTGTTTCCAACTGGTTGGATCGGTGGAGTCTGGCGTTGTGGCAGGAATGCATTGCATGGCTTTAGCGACAATGGCCAGCATACCGGCTTTGGGTACCGACTACGTCGGTTCTCTTTATAATTGAGCTCTCCTCCCCGTACCAACGTGGAGTGGTAAGGCCAAACGACTACGTTGATTGAAGCTCTCCGGAGCTTTCACCCAGCTGCCAAGATGTTTTCAAAAGTCCCAAAGATTTACAATGTCTACTTTCTGGCAATCATTGCCACGATGGGTGGTATGCTGTTTGGTTTCGATATCTCTTCGATGAGTGCGATCATTCCAACCGATCAATACATGTACGTCAATTCCTAAAAGACGAATCTTCAGCATGGCCTGACATCCAACAGTGATTACTTCGACAACCCATCTGGAGTCGTTCAGGGCGCCATTGGGGCTGCCCTTGCTGCAGGCTCTATTGTCGGCTCTATCATGGCAGGCCCAGTTTCTGATAAATTTGGTCGTCGCGATGCTCTTTTGTTTGCTTGTCTCTGGTGGCTCGCTGGCACTGCCTTGCAAGTCGCTGTAACAGGACGAGGAATGTTGATAGCTGGTCGAGTCCTGAACGGAGTAACGGTCGGCATCACTTCCTCGCAGGTACCAGTGTATCTTGCCGAAATCTCCAAGCACTCACAGCGCGGTGCAATCATCATCATCCAGCAACTCGCCATTGAGTGGGGAATTCTCATCATGTCAGTAACAAGTGAAAATATAGGAAGATTGCCAGGCTGACCTTCTTTTGCAGGTACTTCATCGGATATGGTTGCACATTCATTCCCGGAGAAACAGCATCGTTCCGCACCGCTTGGGGCATCCAGTTTGTACCCTGCGTAATGTTCATGATTGGTCTGCCTTTTCTACCAGAATCTCCTCGATGGCTTGCCAAAGTCGATCGCACAGAGGAAGCAATCCAGGTCCTGGCATCTATCCAAGCTAATGGCAATATCGAAGACCCATATGTTGTCGCCGAGTACGAGGAGATTATGACTGTTCTTATTGCCGAGCGTCAAGCCCCACCGGGATGGAAGAAATTTGTATACAACGGCATGTGGAAGAGAACTCTTGCTGGATTTTCCGTCCAAGCTTGGCAGCAGTTGTCTGGGGCAAATGTGCGTTCACTCCCCCAAACCAACTACTCACTTCAGACACTAACTAGAGCAATAGGTCATGACCTACTACGTCGTTTATATCTTCGCAATGGCCGGGCTTGAAGGCAACATAAAGCTTATTTCGTCAGGTGTGCAGTATGCGCTCTTCATCATCTTCTCTTCGATCATGTTCTTCTTCGTCGACAAGTTTGGCCGCCGCACACTTCTCGTCTGGGGCGCCATCACCATGGGCATCTGCCATTTCGTCGTCGGCGGCGTTCTCGGCGCAAACTACGAATACATTCCTGAGGGCGTTGGAGGCGACCGTAATGTTGTGATGAAAGTCACTGGCTCGCCCGCCAACACCGTCATTGCGTTTTCGTATCTTCTCATCATTATCTACGCTCTTACTCTCGCGCCCATCTGCTGGGTGTACGCCGCGGAAGTGTGGTCGCTTGAGACTCGTGCGTGGGGTATGGGTATTGCTGCGACTGGTATGTCAAGATTTCAACAATTTCAAAAAACAAAATGATACAAAAACGCTAACGGCTTTCCCCAGGTAACTGGCTCTTCAACTTCGCAATCGGCCTCTTCATTCCCCCCGCATTCCTAAACATAAAATGGGGTCTCTTCATCGTCTTTGGTGTACTTTGTCTTCTCGCAGCCATCCAGTTCTTCTTTACATATCCAGAGGTAAATATCTTTCCACCACTGCTAGGCAACCTCAGCTAATCTTTCTTCAAACAGACCTGCGGCAAAACCCTTGAGGAAATCGAAGTCCTCTTCAGTAAGGACGGCCCGCACGCATGGCGAACCAAAAAGGGAAGCGAACATATCGGCCAGAATACAGAGAATGTGGCGGCGGCCCAGGCCAAGCAGGAGGCCCAGGCGAGAATCGAGATGCTGGCGAAGAAAGAGAAGGGAGAGACGGCAAGGACCGAGACGGTTTGAGTGGGTATCTATGTAGGATTTATGTATTAGGGGAAAAGGAATATGAACAAGAAGAGTGTAATAATTGCAAACAATGATATCCCCCGAATCTAAAACTACGTTCTTGCCTTTTACAAACCTAACATACCTCTACCGCCCCACAGGACAATAGGCAAGAGACGCAAGTGAAGTACAGCGAAGAAAAAAAAGGTTTCCAAAAAGCAAAAAAAAGAGTAAAACTAGTAACTGCATATAGTTTCTGCCCCCCTCAATTATAAAAGTCTACCCAAAAATCCCCCCAACATCAAGAAGTGAAGAAGAAGAAAAAGTGTTGGAAAAAGGGACGAAAAAAACCTCCAAGTTGCTAGTTCTTCATCATCTAACTAGCTCAAATCCATCGCCTTGATACCCTGCTCAAGCGCAACCTCATCTGCAAGCGGCGCGTCTTCAGCCACAGATTCCCCATTCGATAGCACAACGCCTTCTTCCTCTGGATGCTCCACAGTGCCGGGACCCTCGGCGACATGTTTGTCTATTAAACCTCCGTTTAGATGAAGGTGTTGTGGAATAGTGGGCTCGGCCC